GATGTTTATCAATTAATCCCGATACAACATTCCTTCTATACTAACAGCGTAGAGAATATATGAATAATCAAATATATTGCCTACGTATTATAGGAACTTTATTGCCATATTCGGAAAGAAACAAGCAATAAAAATATTATATACTAGTAGCGAATCACCCTGGCTTCGCTTGGGTTCGTCCCTAGCTTGATTTTCAATACAAACTTTCATCTCCATTTTCACCCCCTTAAGGGATGATTTATTGTATAAAAAGTATCCTATGTCCTTCCCAGGGTCTCAAACTATCTTCTTACCAAATTTCATCTAAATCGGTTCAATAGATCCACAGATTACCCCCACAACGTCACAAACTCACAAACTCACTATTTACTCATACTCATTATTTACCTCTTTATCAATACATATAATAAAATTGTAACTAAGTCGAATCTGTACATTAAATATTTTTTGGAAAATCTAATTGAAATAGACATTATTATCGATACAGAGGCCGAATCTATAGTTTTTAGAATTTTTGTCTGTCTATCTGTCTGTCTGTCTGTTACCGCATCACGAGAAAACCACTGGACAGATTTTGATGAAATTTGGTATGATGATAGCTGGTTATCCGGATCAACATATAGGATATTTTTACCGCAGGAAAATGTCTCATTTCTGAGAAAAAATACAAAAACTGCAATGTAAGAGTACACTAATATGTAAAACCTAAGAATTTGGTTTTTGGCCACCTGAACGCGGGCGAAGGCGCGGGCAATGCTAGTAATATAATAAAAATAAAATATAAAAAAATAAAAAAAATATATATTCGATGTTCTAAACTCGTTGAATAGGTTTAGTTCATTTTCAGATGATAATTCACATTTCATAACAAACCAAGTAAGTGCCTGACCGTGCTAATGTTCACATCGAAGATGCTAAAGCCGTTCTAATTAGAGCAAGGTCCTGTATTGCAACAGGTCATGAGAAATGTCGGAAAGTATTGAAACTAGTTAACAATGATAGTGCGAACAAAATAATATAACTTCGATTTAATAATAAACTTAAAATACCTATTAAGTACAACAAGTTTTTGTAGACGCGTGGAATATAACGGATGTGCCTAATAGCATATTATAAGACTAAATATCGCAAATAGCAATTTAGCTCGTATAATTATATTACCGCTAAGTTTTTGCCGTTTTTGTTATAACTTTTTTGCAAACACAACAAGACAGCAACTGTTTTTATAATTCAAATAATTCATCACATTACAAAAAGTGTTTGGAATAAAGATAAAATTAAGTATAATAATAACTTATCCACTAAAACATATCCATTATACAAAAAAAGCAGTCATGAGGAGTGCCGACAGAAGTGAAAACACTATAAACAGTTGTTATTTTTGGATATTCAACTTATATTACAATTATTTATAATTATTTATTTATATTATTATATTATTTATAATTATGTATTGTTTGATCTTAAATTAAAATTTGTAAATTAAAACTATTTACATTTATCTGGTTTTGACATCTAACGGCACTCTGAGTGTTAGCGTTAACTCATCACGTGACCATGTCGATGACGACTTACATGAATTTACTCCCCATCCAATCCTGCCTTTAGAAGTTTTGACTTCAAAAATATGAGCAAGATACAAAAATATCCCTAAAATAGGGATAACTTAGCATCACTAATAGATTAATACTCAAGGCAATATTTAATGGCACGACAATAAACACTCATTGTACAATTCACAGCAACTCATTTGAAGACAGAAGACAAAAAGAACCAGTTACCAAAACAAGCACAAAACATTGGAATTTTAGGAATCTGTCGACGCTCCGACGCCGAGATGCTGTCGCGTGAAAAAAACAAGTCCGTTTTTAAATTAATAATTGTAACGTCGTAAATCTGGCGGGCGTCACGGAATAATTCGGATAGGTGTCGCCAATGTTTAATTTAAATATAATTTTAATGACCCAAAGTATAAAACGTCTCATTTCATAAACAATAACACTGTTGGATCGCACGACGGATGACCGTTTAGATATACGGATGGCGCCAAGAAAATAGACTGTTGCAACTTTAATAATACCTATTTTAATTTTTGAACAATTTGATTGTTGCCAGCTATTAATTTCGAAGACGACCTTCTCGATGTTAGTTCCATGTTTTATTGATTGACTCCATCATTTAGACTTTAAAGTCTATATATTATGCATATTTTCTGTATTTGCAATATTGATTTACAACTCTAATGATTAATAAACCTCAACGCAATAAAAAATTATGAACATAAGTCACATCATAAATAAAAAAAAAACTATTTAATATTTGATTACACTTATTTGATAAAATACTAATTGGGTATAATAATAAGTATTTCAAAATAATTCAATTTAAGAAAAAAATCTAGAAAGATCGTCAAACATTTTACTAAATAAAGAAAAACAGATATATTGTTTGAGGCAATAAAAGCTAGAAGACTCTCCTTAGCACTTGGGTTTTTCGATCATAAAGCAAAACAACAACCCAACATAAGATATCCAATAAATAACGCAAGTCGATATAAATATAATTACATAACATAGACGTCGCGATCGCATCCGGTCCGGTGCGGCGCCTAAGTTCTCTATCCTCGGAGGAAAACTTAAATATCTCGTTTTTTATCTCACCAAAATATTATAATCATGTTAAATTTTTATTTTATAACCTATTTAAACTACAGTATATAGAGAACTGTTTTACAAATTATTTTTTCTTCCAGTACTTTTGTTTACAGTACAAATCATTTGATGATGTACGTGTAAATATAAAAATTGTAGACAAAACTCTTGAAATTGTAGAAATTTAACTTGTCTTTGAGTTACTATTTTCTCTATAACTGATGATGTTCTCCTGGCCGATTCCGGCCACGGCGGCCAATCTCATTGAGACTAGCCAACTACGCAGGAGATATTATAGTGCACAAGTGTACGCGCAGACACAAGTGCACTCTCTATTCCTGTCACTCTTATACTCTGGTGGGACGAACACTCGACACGACCAGTGAGAGTTAAGGCGCAGGACCGACGGCTTTACGTGCTCTCCGAGGCACGGGGGTGAAACACCGCCAACTTCCCAACTCCGGGCTGTTACTGAGGCTTACTATACAGAAAGACTCAATAACTAAACATGGCCCGACCCGGGGCTCGAACAGTGTGCAGCCGTACATACTAGCCACTACACCACTGAGGCAGTTTCTCTATAACTAATAGTATATCAAAGCAATAATTAAGCTAAATATGGCGAAGTCGGTTTACATTATATGTATTGGTCAAGCAACTAAGTGCCACTGTGGCGCGGAATGTAGCTCATATAAACAAGGCTACTAAATTTTGTTTCAAACCAAGTTTGTCATAATGTTATGTTTTTAAAATTTATAACTTAAAATGGTTGGTAAAATCGTAAAATAAAAATGTCACAACTGATTAACTATTGATGTTAACTTCTTATATAAGTAAAACTTCAATGTCCTATTACGATAACAAAAGCACATTACATAATAAAGATTTACCTCTGCTTTATTTTCTCAATTGTTTTCATACAAAATACAGATAAAAAACTTACGTAAACGATAATTTTACTCTTCAAGCTACATATGTTCAAATCTGGCTTGAACGCATCCTATAGTGCATAAAACTCTACCAAAGCTCTATTTACCAAAATAAGGAAATACGTAGGTATTAAACAATTTAAAAAAAATCGTTTTAATGATAATATTATTAATAATAATTTGAATACATCATTTTTTTTATTAAAAGACCTAAACAAAAAAGCTCAATTTTAATTCTTCGTAATAAAAATTAGCTTTTAAATAGTAAGTTAATAAACAAAACACTCATTATTAATATAACTTAAATATTAATTTTGTAATAACATATGGCATTAACAAATTATTCTGTGAATAAATAGTTCTTCTTTCATAACAAAAGTACAATACTTTTGTTGCAAATAACTTTATACATATAATGTAATGAAAATCGAGCAAACATGTAATTAGGATTTGTACTGGCCTTTTTCATATATATATATATATATATATATATATATATATATATATATATATATATATATATATATATGATTTCCATATCATGAGCATAACGATAAAGTAAAAAATTGTAATAGACTTATAAATACATAGATTCAGAGAACGTAACAATTATGAATATTCTAAAAACAAGATGCAAAAAAAGATCCGGGATGCCACTCGTAAATAAATGATTAAATACCGAACGCTGAGGAAAAATAAAGAATTTCATGCTAATACTGACAATCCATATATGGCGATACTATTAATATTCAATAGTAATATAATAAAGACGTAGAGTTTATTTGTTTGAACGCGCTAATCTCAGGAACTACTAATCCGATTTGAAAAAATCTTGTTGCATTAGATAACCCATGTAGTGAGGGAGGCTATAGGCTATATATCATATAATATACTAGCATTGCCCGCGGCTCCGCTCGCGTTCAGATGACCAAAAACCAAATTCTTAGGTTTTACATGTAAGTGTACTCTTACATTACAGTTTTGTATTTTTTCTCAGAAATGAGATATTTTTCCCCGATAAAAAGTATCCTATATGTTGACCCGAATTTATTATAAATAATTTATTATTATTTATTTACATGATTTTTTTATAATATACCAGAGATAACTATAAGCTCGGCCAAGGCCGTTTAGCATCGTAATGAGTGCACAACTAGAAGATTTTTTTTGGTCAAGTTCTAACTATAACTCGTGCGCTATACATACGTAGCACGTACGTTGATGGTAATTTGTCAGAAAATTTGACTGGTGGACTTGCACCCATCAATTCACGGATAAATAGTACGATTACGATATCGGCAGTCACACAGTCAAACTTACGTTTAATTCAAATTGTACTTTTATATAAATGCTACCTGTAAGACAAAAATGACAAACATTTGACATTTATAAAAAAATAAATAACTTTTTTACAAATGTGATGGTAAGTGCTTTAATTATTTTTTAATTCATTTTATAAAAAAAAAACAAAATAATGTTATTTGCTCTTGTTTGACATAGCATAACTTAGCGATGGACGGTTAGCTTGGATCTCGGTCCCGTTCTCATCCGGCGACCTTCCGAGGACGCGCCGATGTCGATGACACTGATTAGGACGTTCGCTCACCAAAAGCGGTTTCCATAGCCAAAAGAATGTTCTGCGATTAAATCTCTAATAAGTTATTATAATATTTTATCAAAGAAGTAAAATAAGTAATACTTATTTTACTTACAAGTACATATATATCAATTTAACATACAACATGAGTGTTTTTAACTAAAAGCATAATGTAACTATAAAAAAGTCTTTGAAATACATAAAGTCACCTTACCAAACTATTTCACACTTATGTCAAAATGTGATTTTCTCATCGTCTGTACGTAATCCATGTTTGTCACTAATGAATCGCTTATTTGCATTACCTAATGACCGAGTCATTTGCCGCATTAATTATAAAATTACCCAGTAAACTCAACGTAGAGTTTATTCAAATATCTGTCACATAATAAACTTCTAAAAACTTTATTAGTTACGGATTCTGGTGCATCGTGTAACGTAGTGTGTGTTGTGTACTGTGTCTGTGTGCGTGCAATGCGCACGCGCCTACTGCGGCGTATTTACGCGCGCGCCCCTACCACCGCCGGCACTCATGCGCCGCGCGACCCACAGAACACACGCGCACCCCACCACGGCCTATAACCCTGCGACACTGCGACATTTGCTACTATGTGCCAGTGACTGAACACAAGTGCTAGTGAAGTGACATTACCGCAACCCTCGTGATATGTGCTGAAGAGTGTATCCCAAGTGATATTTCAGTCGCAGCCTCAACCGTTAACAGTAAATGTAAGATCGTGTTTCATATATATTTTTTTTAAATATAACCTAATAATCCAGCTCGGTCCCCGACCTAGATCTCACGAATTGAGCGCCGGTATGCCAACAATGATTTCAACAATGCAGCAATCCTATCGCGACATTATTATTAATTTTAAATTTCTCAGCTAGCCCAAACCATGAGACTCAATGACGGTCACATATAAAGAAACACCTGTGAGAAAATGTAAACAAAAGCGTTTCAAAGAATTGTTACGTGCAAAACGTTTAGCAAAATGATCTGTGAAACATCTATACTGTAAAAATTATTCAAGTGAGATTCATATTAATATCGTGACATTCATATTAAGATCTACTAGAACATCTTCAAAGTTTTTCTTACAAACATCATCCTACGCATTTATAATTCAAGTGTTATAAAACGTAATAGGTGCTACGATATGTTATAAAATATGATAAAATGCATTTACAACATCTCATTCATAACATTAGAAGGCAAAACCCTAAGCAGAGCAATATATCACTTCATTCAAGCATATAATTAGGTTTACTTGAATATATTCATGACAATAAGATTAATCTCAAAAGTTAAATATAGATGATTATCAATTCGTGATTTATCAAAACAAATTTAACGTGACACATAACCAGGGATTACCAGCAATCGCTTCCGAGCATGTTCACTGAATATATAATCGTAGCGATCTCATTATAAAAAAATACGTTCACAAAGTCGAAACATCCGCGTAACGGGAGTTGGAAACAAGAGGAGACGCGTGAAAAATACAAATCCCATGCCTCATCAATTATTATTATTATTCGTTGACTCGTTCAAAACTTTAATGAAAATAAAATTGCTTCCTCAGAATTATTTAGTCACAAATATAAATAATACAGAAAATTGAACAAGAGAACAAGTTAAAACACTTAGTAGTATTATTAATATTTTTTATATTTTTAAACATCATTATTATTATTAAATTTAATACGAATATAAAATATATTAATTAAGTAAACAGTGAACAAGTTTAAAATTAACTATGTATACGATCGAAAAATATCAATACATAATTGATAAAGCGAGTCGAGATGAAAGTGACGCGGGCAATGAAAGTGTACCAAGTTATACTTGCGATGATGACATAACACCGTAAATAATCAACACACACCGATTCGGGCCGTACTACCGAGTATCGATACATGAAATCAAATCGAGATTAGTCTTGGAATAAAAGGAAGTATAAGCGATTCGTTTTTAAACATTGTTCGATACTTTGAGGTAATGCCCAAATTGTGTGAGAACAACATAACAATTATGAAGGCGGATGTTATAAGCAACGTGAGAAATTTTTTTGTATTTCCCCAAAAATAACAAACTAGTTAACTTTAATTGTGATATAACTACAGAATAAATAGATCTAATCTCACCGGTCAGATGAAATAACAACTCAAATTTATAAACAAGATTACTCACAATGCGATAAAGGCTATATTTACATTCAGTAAATCAAATATTGAATTCTTCAAAATCTAACATATTTTTTTTTACTTTACAAAAGATTATGATATATTTATGGTATGGGGAAATTCAACGTTATATTTACACACGTTCTATCGAAGCTTTGAAGGCTACCATCAAATGCCATTAGGTTGGAAACCAGTTTTATTGCATACCTTTGCGAGCTAAATAAAGACTGGCATTCAGAAAACTATACACTTCTAGGTAATAAGAATGTCGCATTCCCAACTAAGGTAGTGCACACGATGACACAAGCGTCACCTGCAGAGGACTAACCTTTAAACTGCTTATCGTCCCTGTCTAGACGAACTCAACCTCAACCGTGAATCAGTTGAGAAACGTCATTTCTGATAAAACTATTAATGTTATTAATTATATTTAGTATTGATGACATCATAAAACGCCGCCGTAGTATTTCATATTTATAGCACATGAAAATATGAACATAAAATCAGAATAAAAAAAAACAACTATATCTCGTTTGTCTAAATATAAGTATTAGGTATCAACATTTTTCTGGTTCAATCAACTGTTTGACACATCCAAAAGTTGTGAAGACTTCGATCAACGATTCATAACGGTCAATCATAATGGCAAGGCGAGTTTCTGTCAATGATGCTCAATCAACTATACAATGTTTACATATCGCGTGTAAATTATTTAACAACATTAGGACCTAATCGATGCTGTGTATACGATACTACAAACCTACGATTACGTCATTCCTCATTTACGTCAATAAAAAATCGAATCCGGCTATGACTCGTGATGAGTGTGTTATCACGATATAAAGGTATGAAGAACTAAAAAGTGTTAAGAAAACAATGCGTGCGCAGAGACTCCTTCTGTTGTTTGGATTAACAATAGGTATTTTCCCAGCTAGTTGCGTTTGCACGTCGTTAGCCACTGAAGTCATTTGTCGCGAGATATTTCACTTATGAAAAAGTTATTACCTTGAAATGAATTATTAGCTCGAGTAAAGATTAAATAGCGGCTAGAATGGTTGGTAAAATTTCAAAATTGCTAATAAATATGCAGCTTTCCTCGAACCACGTGCGAAGGACTCGGGCGCAATCTAAGGTTGCCTATTATCCGCCACGCTCCGAAAAACACCAAAAGGTAGCACCAGAACGGCGGAAAAATTTTGAAACCGTTGCGCAAAGCGACTCATATTAAACAATATAAAACTAATAGCCGTTATCTCGCAAAAATCAACTAATTGGTGTTTACTCCATAGCGCTTCCCATCTCCATCCGATTGAAACTATCTCGATAGTGAGCGTACTTACCGTGGACTCTTTGCATGCAAATTTAATCTTACCTGTAACAATAATAATAAGGTTAATTGATTATATAACAACAAACTGACTACGTTTAAATGCTTAAGTGTAGTGGAAAGTCATTGACTTAACGAGGCACGTTTTCGCATTACAATTTACCGGGCCCGGATTATATTATGTGAAAAATACGAAAATTTCTAGATGTCGTAAAAGCAATTACCGGCCAACTTGACGAGAGCAAACAACATAGCATTACATAGAAGATTACACACAATAACACTGAATGTGTCCACTGAGAAATTACGAAACAAAGCACCAAGAAAGTCACAAACTAACAAAAGAAAAGAAAGCGAATACACATTACAAAGCACACCGCGTAGAAATAGTCAACCAGGAACATATTCATAAACATAATAATTTAATATCTTAATGTCATATCTCAATGTTTGGAAGTTCTTAAAGGGAATTTATAAAACGAAATAAACTGCTCTTAGTTTTAAATATTTATATTACTTATTTAAATCTGAATGGTTAAAAAGATAGTCTGCCCTTATCCATATAAAAGAATACGTGTAGCTCTAAAAGCAAAAAAAAAAGAACTTACCTACTCTAATTGAAAGTATTTATTTTTCGTAAATCTAAGAAAGCTTAAGTGCTTATACTTAAAATAATTAACTACCTACAAAATAATTGCACAACGGCGATAATAATAACCTTGTAGATTTCAAATATAGCGTAGGTATTATAAATCATAAATCCACCAACAATGAAACGTATGACAGGAACATAGGCATGCTACGAAATATTTCGGTAAGCGGCCCCGAAGCGGCGCGTGCGCATTTACAACCGTATTATAGACAGTCACGACTCTATGAACCGGAGCAATTTTTTGTAAAACGACCTTAAAGTAGCAGCGACGTTTAAAAATGGAGAAGTTGTCATTTCAATTTATAAATGTTTACAAAACTACATAACAAACATTTATCACACTGATTTCGAACTGATTTGTACGCAATATTTTTTTAAAACCAACACAATGTCACAAAGTTTTGTAGACACTATCTAAAACGTGTGAAATGTAACCATATATGGTTCACTTCGTTCCGCAAACTCAAGGAGATTAATATAATATAATGACACAGTAACTAACTTAAATATTGAAGGCCAAAGGTAATTACGTAAATATCCGAACGCGGATTTGATTGACTGTAGGTACCTATAATACCTAGTTTAGATCCTGTTAGAAACGATATTACAAATACCTATTTATTTAAATGAAGGAAAATGACTACTTAGTATAATGCGAGATTGATAAATAGCTTTTAAAATGAATTTTAAAAGGCACGAATTTGTATATAGTGAAAATGCAAGCAACATATCCTGACGGCAAATCAAGGCGATGGAAAGTTGGCGGGCTGACAATAACGAGTACTGAATACGAATTATTGACAATGAATTAAGTTTCCCAACGCCGTTGCAGCAAAAAGAATAAAGAAAGCTTCGGCGCATCTTCATTATTTATCGAGCACTAATGTTGTAATTTACTTGAATTGATTGATCTAAACAGACATAACAGATTAAAATGAAAACTTATAGACCAAGATATATGTAAATAATAATTAAGTTGCCATTTTTTTAAATATTTAGTTAAGTAAAGATATAAACTTTGGAAGAGCAATTGTTAATTTTTCGAAGGTAAACTAGTGATGCAAAGGAAAGGATGCATTCAAGATGAGTCCCACAAATGTCAAACTTTATAAAACATTCGTGTTGAACTTTACAAGTTACTGGTGGAATATTGCAAAATTTAATTCCTTTATAATTTAATGATAATCTATGTTTTTCCTATATATCTTGACATATCAGTACAATTATTAATTTAAAGGCAAGAATACGACTCAAAACAAGTATTGCAAACAGGCCAGGAACTTAGGACGCTATATAAAAACAACTTCTAAAGTCACGTAAATTCCGAACAATAATAAGAGTACGTAAATGTCATAAAAAATAAATAATCAAATAACATCCTATTATACATCTGTATATAATAAATATTATAAATGTAAAAGTTTATGAATATGTATGGATGTTTGTTACTCTTTCACGCCAGAACGGCTAAACGGATCTGGATGAAATTTGGCACAGAGATAGATTATAGTCTGGAATAACACATAGGCTTTTACTATTTTCACATCGATTTGTTTTTGTTTTACGTATATAAAACTAATATTGCAATTGTCGTAGTTATAAATTCCTACAAATATATGTTCATTATTTAAGAGAAAGGTCATGGTAACCTATTCAGATTCAAAGCCTTCAATACAATTATAGTTAGTTTAAATATTCATAGAACTTTTCACTATCATCAGTAGCACCTGTTTCTTAAATCATTACAATATACATAGATGATTTTACATACGCATTTTCAGTAGATACTTAAGTACATATATAGGTACTCGTATTTGTAACGTATGTACATATAACATTTCAATAAAAATATACATACATATAATTAAAGCAAGTTTTTTAAGAACTTGATACGTAAACTAGTTTTATTATTGAATGTATAAATATCACAATAAACCGACATTTAAGTAAACCAACTCGTTAATATAATATTCCGTAATATAATTTCAAAATATTATTTCCAATATTACAAGTCGTACAATCTACTTTATCTCAATCTAATTTAACGTAACATGCAGAAACAAAAGGCGCTGAAGTATTTCAGCCTTAAATTAAAAATCACAGTAACAGTGACAGTCTATTTTGTCGCAGGCCCACGGCCTTCCTGCCTAGTGGTTATTATTCGCTAATTTCCAAATTAAACGATTCTCAATGCCAGCTAGCTCGGCGGTGGTCATTCAGTGCGAATTCATAAAAGGCGGGGAGGTAGCGCGCGGCCCGTCAGTGCTGTAACCACTGTCCGAACGTTTTATCTTGGTTTCCTTTCACTTCGCGCGTTCATGACCGACAACCGACTATATCCAATATAACTAATTAAAGACAAAATCGATATCTGAGATGAGTTCTTTATTTGTTAATGTGCTAAATTTAGTATAGTGTTTATTGTGTACAATATAACTAAGATGTGATGTTTTCTAAACTTTCAGATGGTGAGAGGGGCGACGTCAGTGCTTACGCTAGCGCTGGCATGGGCATGTGTAGTGCGCGCCAGCGTCCTTGTTCCCACCTACGTACTGCCGCCTGACTCGTTCATACGTGATCAACGTTCTCTTGGTTCTCGATCCGACACCGACTCCTCAGAATCGCAACGAACGATCAAACGTTTAATCGGTGGACATATGAAAATAATTTCGGAAAAGGAACATGGAAACGCTAAAAACGCTATTAACTTGGACTCTAAAAGTGAAAGTGGAAAATTTGCAGGTGTGATTGTGTCAGAAATGTCGGGCGGCACGATGGGATGGAATCAAGGTATCTGGGACGATGGCATGCTCATGTCAAGCGCCGGAGAAGGGAAAGAAACGGGAAAAATAAAAGAGGACGATGAGGAGAAGAAGACATTATCAGATCAGGTGGCCGAAGGGAAGTACGGATTGATACAAAACGAAATATTTGCCAAGGACCCGAAACGGCCAGGAATTTTGAGTTATGAGCCTAATTCCGAGACTCGATCTAAAGATAATCTGCAAAGTCTTGGAGGTCTAAAGAAAGACGAAATATGGCTTGCGGAAGATCATTTATTAGTGCTTAAAGGCGGCTCATTTCCAGAACGCACCAAAGAAACTGAAAATAGGCCATGGCCACCGATTGATAGTTATGAGGCGCCCAGAAGGCAAGTAAAATTACCACAAAAGCCCAAAATACCACCGCCCTTTCCCGTACGACTCTCCGACGACGGACCGCTCATCTTCCTTACACCAAACGGCAGTATCCCTGCGCCCCTTTCCTCTCCTTTCTTTACAGGAGAAGGCGAAAGCCCTGTATTTCCTCCGCCATTCCTTTTCCCAGCGGGAGCGCCCTACCCCCCGGGTGATTATCCGAGAAACTTTACTACCGGGGAAGCGCCGTTGCCAGGTCCTCCGTTCCCATTCCTACCCGGGAATGCGAGCGAAGGAGCATTCCCCTACTCCGCATCCATGAACGGCTCTTTTCCAGAAGGCTTTCCTCCGGGAGCAGCATTTCTACCACCACCCAGCAACCAAACAGACCTGTACGACGAAGACGACCCTTCGATTTACTATCCGCCGCCATACAATTTTTCTTATCACAATGATTACAATAGTAGTGTACCAGCTGGTCCTCTAGTACCTGGAATAATATTACCGCCACCGCCAGATTTCTTTGCGCCAATAGAAGAAAAAATGACGACAGATGTAAATAAAGCTACACGACCTACTTCTGCAACAAATACAAGATCAAAGTCTACGACAAAGCAGCCAATACAAACTACTGTATTTAGAGGCAAATATAAAAATAGGCCTACTACCACAGAGTCTACGAAATCAACAGAAGTTCCTACAACGACTCCACTTGCAGAAATTGTTACTTCTCCAAAGTACAGAAAAGCCCAGCGAGTTATCCCAATACCACCAAGAAACCCAGTGAGAGTACAAAATCTGCCAGATGAGATTATTACGAAACCGAGAACTGAAAAACCAACTTATAAAACACGAACGAAACTTACTTCGAAACCCTTATCTGTATCTGTGTTTTACGATTACCCGGAACCGATTTACAATATTAAAACAACTACAGAAAAGCCTTATATTATTTACAAGGTACCAGAAAAACAAAGTAGTGAAAAAGCTAAGGATGTGACATCAACATCAGTACCACTGAGAGCATATTACTCAAATAATATTCAGAATGACGAAGCTCCTACAACTAAATTACAACCAGTGTATAATCGTAAACCCAATGAAGACGCTATAGCTTCATTTTATTTCTTCGATGAACAACCAAAAAGTTCTCCCACACCTGAAACTTATTTTGACGGACGTCATTACTATAAAACTGTACCTAGTCAAACATCATACAAACAAAATCAACAACAATCAAATTCTCAATCTGGGTTCTCTCCATCTGTAGACGTCGCATACGGATCTATTGACCAGGCCGATGCCGTATTTTTATGGCCTCAGAAACAAGGTCCTCACACACTTACGCAAGAATATTTCAGCGTTCAAAAACCGAGGCAACAAGTTTATGTGCAACAGGCAAAACCACGGCCGGATCCATTCTACCAACAGATAGCTGATATTCAACATACTATTGAATTATATACGACGAAAAGACCAAAATCTCACTCTCACAGACCTCACACAACGAAACCTAAAGCCGTGACATCCCGACCAGTATACCAATTCAGCTATGAATCGAAACCTCGTCCTGAAAAATTGAATTTCCGAGCTCCTAAACTTGATCCTGAACCATTTAGGCCTATGGTAAGCTATAGTAAGCCTTTTAATTTAGAAAATGAATTTAATGCTATTTCGCCATCAGCGTCACCTGGATACCATCAACAATACCTTGTAGAAAACGTACAAGTTCACACAGAAAGTCCAACTTCGTCGAGGTACTATCCTAAAACCAAAACGAGAGATGAGGATTATGAAGATGCTGTTTATAACAGGAACGTATCTCCAAAAAGTATAAATCATATTCCAGCCCAAACTGGTAAGCCTGGACTCCACGTAAACAAGTACCCGAGCACCACACCAAATCCTATTAGCAACGGTTATTACACTAAACAAGATGAGAAGTACTTCGATGACATCACGAAAAATTCCTTTGATGTATTCGGTCAGAAGTTAGAAGATGGAATGCACGATGTGAACGGTTTAGGCGTTACCCCTTCATTAGAAACTTTAAAAACGCCCATCAATAACAATCTTAATATTCAATACGACTACGAACTAGACTCACAGTCTCCACCACCGAGTCTGATTAAAGACACAGTAGTCAACGATCGCTTTCCGCGCCCAACGACAAACCCTTACAGCGAACAAATCGGAGTAGGCCATGCAAATGCGGAACTAATCCAACCGATAAAACCACCATCGCTACTGGACGACACGCGTGTAAACGATCGGAACCCTCGACCGGAGATCAATCCTGACAGCGAGTTCATACCTATACCGAACCCTGCTTACAGGAGCCAGCAATACAGGGTGCAGAGTCAGCCTCAGTATACTGGTGAACAGTATGACTTGAACAGGCCATCGTTGGATGGAGACACGGCTGTGAACTACAGGACGCCTCTGCCCCCAGTGAATCCTGACGCTGAATGGGTGGGGCAAAGGGGCGCGGGCGATGGACATCGTGGCGCGTACGTGTCGTATCGGCTACCGGGCGAAGGTGCGCACGTGTACTTCCTAACGCCGCAGGCCACGCGGGAAAGGTACCGCTCGCCCGGTTATGGACGGTGAAACCAAAGCTCTAGTCCCAACTATTATCCGTAGCCGTAGTCGTAGCCGTAGCTGTGTAAATATACAAAGCAAATGTGATGTTTAAGTGTCCTAAGTAGTATTAGAGACTGGCGGGCCACCCTCGTTGCCATAATATTTATCGCGTTATTTAAACGCAGTGAGCCGCATCCGTCGTCGTTGTGAAACAAACGAACGCTAATAAATTAATAATAAACTATTTATTTCATTATTATTAAGAGACTGTGGTGCAAGCTTAGAGTTAAGTAATTTATTAATGTATGTCAGTATTGAACTCACGAGATGTGATACTGTAGTGTGTGGGTATGTTGTGATGAATAGCGATTGTTACATTAAAATAGTTGTGTAAACGAAATAATGACAAGCGATTGTGATTTTGTACGATTTTTATAAACAAAGGAATTTATTATAAGACTAAAAATAAAATTGTTTAATATGAGAATTTGTTTACATTAAAACACCCTAAATAGCCATTAAAATTGCATAAGAGTTCTAGTTGCCAAACAAAGCATAATAAAATAAAAAAAACTATTGTTATGACTAAATCAGTATCGTGGGAGCGTATGCAAATTTACACTTATGTTACAGAAAATATCTGTATAAATATTATAAATGTGAGTTTGTGATTATGGATGTTTGTTACTCTTCACGCAAGAACGGCTGAACGGATTTACATGAAATTTGTCACAGAGATCGATTATAGTCTGGAATAATACTAGGCTACTTTATATCCTGGAAAATGTACGGATCCCGTGGGATACGTTTGTTTTTGTTGTTTTGTGAAGGGATGGTGAGCCGCTAGTAACGTGGTACTGCTATTATTAATTTCATAATTAAAGAAATGAATTTTCTAAGAAATGCCTCCCTCATAAGGTCTCAAATATTAATATAAAGTACAATGTGCTTTTTCTGATACCTATCTCTCATTAACGTAATTATGTAAATAATAAATAATTATAATACTCTAAAAAAACGCTTTAAATTAATTTTTCTGGCAAATTCTTTTTTCACATTAAACTGCAGTAAGAAGTAATACAGTAATCTTCGTATAAAATCTTTGTTGTGTAATGCTGTGAAGTACAAAAATATACAAAACTAAAATCATTTACAAAATGTGAATACATACAAACATGCAAATACGTTGTAAATTTTCATATTATGACCAAATCTGAATTATTAATTTTTCGAACGCACAAAATGTTGCGATATTCATATAGCGTGACGCAAAAAATATAATAAAACGCATAAAATTACAATATTTAAATATATGTACATATATACATATGAGCCTTATAAACGCGTCTATTTATATTCAAAAAGCATATACTATTTATAGCTGTTTGTTTTGTTTCTTACATTGAAAAAAAGGGTAGGTATATCTTCTATATCTATACGGATACAAATCTGTCTGTTCCGGCTAATCTACGAAGCAACTGGACCGATTTTAACGGGACTTTCACTGGAAGTTAGCTGATGTTATAGGAGTAACTTATTTTAGAAAAAGAATTAGATTTCAGATCAAAAAAAATTAAACGCATCTAAGGACGCACCCGAACGAAGCGAGTGTAAGTCGCAGTACATAAATAAAAATGAATATTCGTATGTTTGTCCTCTATGCATTTCTAAACCATTGATTCGATTGTGATGAAACTCTGGTGGGTTATCCTGTATACACCTGCAAAGATTCCTAACGCAAAATACATTTTTCTTTAAACAGCTTTTATGAGTTCCTAAACCATTCAAGCTTAGGGATGCAGCCAAACGATACTAGGGTAAATCGCTAGTTAATTATAAAAATTATATTAAACCTAAATAGCAGTAAAACATTATTATCCGAAGAAGTGTTCAAAGCTATATTATACTCAGACAGATTTACTTTTACTATAGGACAGATAAAATTAGCTGAATAAACAGAATAACTGTAAATATTCAATGATGATAGGTATTTTAATTGACCTGATTTCACTCGTACTGAAGGGAGGCCCGTGCCCAGCAGTGAGATGTTAAAAAGGGCTGAATACTACTACTATACTATTTTAATTAAAAATTGTTTTACATGTATATATATGTATATGAAAAAATGAAATGCTGTCCGTTGCTAAGGGCATCACTTGAACAACTGGACATTCGACACTTTATTGCAAAATAAAAAAAAACTAGATACACAATCCCATGTAAAATTTCTCTTGAAACCATGTCACCAATTGTGTTTAAGTAATTATTCTAGTTAGAATAAACCATTCTTTGCCATTATCATAAAGCACTAAAAAATATATTATAAAAATAAAAAAACCCGACTGCATAAAAGCTAACAAAAAAGATGAAAACAAGTTGACGAAGGAATATACCATTACGCAGTCGGAGACATACACGTTTCATCCTTGCCGCGAGACGTATGCACATATGTATATGTCTCCGACTGTATCAAAAGTTATCAAATATTAAGACGAATCTAACAACGTATGAATCATCAAAATCCAAAACTATCATATAGGAACAAACATACAAACATTAAACACGTCACTCTTTTTCGCTTTGCGCAGTCGGGTAAAAAAAACCAGCAACACCCACCTGTGTCCGGCTCCTGCGTCTGCTGCACGTCCTGCAGCGGGTGCGCGTACAGGCGCAGGTACACGCGCACGGCGGTGGCGGCCGCGCGGAAGTAGAAGGGGTGCGCGCGCAGCACGTCCTCCAGCCGCAGCAGGCCCACGTACGACCGGAGCGTCATCTTGCGCATGCAGTACGAGTGGAAGTCGAACTGGTCCTCCATTATCTCCGAGAAGTGCTGGTGGATGGATATAGACAATTATTCATATGTTCAACACGCGATTTGCTCGCTATGTTCACATTTTTATATTAAACTAGCGACTCACCCTCGCTTCGCTCAGGTTCGTTCCTAGGTGCGTTTTGAAACTTAATATTTTTTTTATTATTTTTTTTTCATTAATTTTTCGGAGTCCAACAAAACAAAGATCATAAAAATCGGTCCAGCCGTTCTCGAGTTATAAGTATTGTAATATACCTAACTTTGTTTTATATTATATATAGATGTAAGACAGGCGATATTTTTTTCGATTTGGATTCGATTTGAACTACTATGTGTGTGTATTCTCCTCCACGCTGAAACGGCTTTGGATGAAATTAAGGTACACAGACAGGCCCTAGTTAATAATAATTTTGGCAAATTATTTTTGCTTATTAATTATTATAAATTATGTAACCAGTAGCAAACCCAAATCCATACTTAATATTATAAATTATGAAAGTAACTTTTATTTGTTTATTACCTTTTCACGACTACAAGGGCTGAACCGATTTAGATGAGAATTGATTTAGAGATTGAAACTCAGGGAAGCCATAGGATAGTTTTTACCCCGGAAATCATTCCTTAAGGGAGTGAAAAGGTGGGTGTGGAAGTTTGTATGGTGAATCAAACATTTGTCGAGTAAGTGATATAAAACTCATCATACCTATGTATAAATAGTCTGTCTATTCCATACTAACCATCAAAACATACCACGGGACGAACCCGAGTGAAGCGAATGTGAGTTCGCTAGTTAAAAAATAAATAAATAGGATACCCTATCAACTTCATGAGCCTTTTTCAGGGCCTCCCCCCACTGCTGCTGGCGCTGGTACGCGGCGGCAGCCTCTGTCTGGAACCACATGCACTGCATCTCGTTCAGATTCTCTGTTGCTGGAACACCTGGAATTAGTTTTACATTTTAATTAATAATGAAATAATGCGCTCGTTAATCAAATTTGCATAATTTTACTGATTATTGAAATATCAGCAATAAGTTGATGGGTTTGTAGTGTAAATTCACAGACACTATACTTTTATGAATTATTCGTCACTGTTAAAAATTGTTTGCCACAGATATTTTTTTTATTCGAAAGCAGAATGAATTTTATAATATTTACTATACGCTAGTTTGCACATATTTATAAATTAAAACAGTTTAACTATTTGCAAATCAATGATATCTATTATCTATTCAAGCAAACAAAAATAACCCGCTGAATTGCCCGAATTACCGCTGTATGAGATCACAAATATTAATCAATAAATCCATACAAATAAATAAAATTGAAGTGTCTGTTTGTAATGTCAAAATAATAGCTTTTTAGTAAACACATATATACAAAGTTCTTCAATGTTTACGTAGAAGTACACAATTTTTTTTCTCTGTTCCGCTCAAAAAAATTAAAACGTACCTAGAGACGCACTCGAACTTAGCAAGGGAAAGGCGGTAGTTATTATTATCTATACAGATAAATAAAATTGAAGTGTTTGTTTGTAATATCAAAATAACATCTTTTTATTAAATGCATATGGAATTATATATGGTATTTTTATAAGAAAAACACAATTCTTAAAATTTTTGTCTGTCCGTTCCGGCTAATCTTCAATTTTGACGGGACTTTCACTGGCAGGTAGTTGATGTTATAAGGAGTAACTTACGCTACTTTTATTTCAGTAAAAGAATTAGGGTTGCGCTCAAAAACATTAAAACGTGCCTAGGGACGCACCCGAACAGAGCAAGTATAAGTATATACCACCGACCTTCCCTCGTGAACTTGGCGCACATCTCCTCCGCGCGCTTGACGTGTCCGGCGCGCAGCATGTAGCGCGCGCACTTGCTGTTGACGTAGCGGTCGGCCGTGTCCATCGCCTGCGCCTCCTCCAGCCACTCGTACGCCGACACCAGGTCGCCGGCGTGCTGGCGGGTGACGGGTTATAAGTTAGGAGCCATTCATTAATTACATAAGGATGATTTTGACGATTTATGACCCTCCTACCGCCATGACAGGATAGACTCCCATAGAAAAGATTCATAATAATACTTAAAAGTCAATTTGAACTTTAATACCAAAACATAAAGTTTAATTGTTAGTGGAGAGGTTCCGGGAAGGCAAAACATTGATGGAAATTGAGTGACGTTAGAATCGTATAAATGTTAATGTCAATATTTGTCAATATTATTAACAAAAAAAATTCAAATTTATATGGCTAGCGCTGGCTAATAACTATTTATATCTATTTAAAACGTACCCAGCGAAAAACCCGAGCGAAGCGACGGTGAGTTGCTAGTTTTGTATATATATGTACATTGTACATACACATCTCTAAAATACTCAGATTCATAAATTCTGTAGACATGTTAAGTATGGGATAGTTAATATAACCAAGCATACTAAAATGACTTATCACAGTAAAGAAGTAAATCTATACTAATATTATAAAGAGGCAAAGTTTGTTTGCTAATCTCAAAAACTACTAATCCGATTTGAAAGAATCTTTTTGCATTAGATAGCCCGTTTATTGAGGAAGGCTGTAGATTATATATCATAATATATAGTATATACTATCTATTCCATACTAACAAAATAAATATAGAGACACCTATATATAGACTAATAAATATCAAATTATTTGATAAAACTCCTATATAAGTCTTCAAAATTTACAAAAAACCCAATAGATACTTTAGAAACTTACTCGTTACAAACAGACCCCACAATCTTTTTCTCTATATATATAAACACAAAACTCACTTTACATATCCTTCCTTTGACAATAAACAGTTCAATCAATGTGGGTGTATGTTCTATCGCCGCGTCTATATAATGTAGCGCTCTATCCGTATCTTTCTTATAGTCATAGTGCTGTGCTGCGAAGTAGTAAGCCCATAGCAGAGCACTGGCCGGCTGTTTCACTTCATCCGGCTTACTACTGAACACTCCTGATTTAGATAAATTCTCCATGTATTGTAAAATTAACTTTTCTATCGTGTCCGCTTTACTTTGGTCTGCATATAAAGACCTGTAATAGAAATGGGTGATAATATAAAATCGCTATATTAATATTGATAGTTTTTAAGAGAACTCATTAAATTATTTTTCTTTACAAAAATAATAATTTATACAAAAAACAATCTTTTATTAATATGTAAAAGAATAATTACTTATAAATAGATATAAATAGAAAGATTAAAAATCATTTTAGCTACTTAACAATCAGAGATACTTTGTTATTAATACTAATAGAATACACGATTTGCAGTTAATGTGACAAAATATGGTCATTATTATGTACCATCTGTTATTTAATAGAAACACATTATTCAATCAATATAATTTATTGATATTAATCGATGTGTGTGCTCGTTACTCCTTGACACTGAAGCGTTAGAAATAAAAATAGCCAAAAGATAACACCTAAATATAAGTCACTAGTCATTGGTATACAAGAACTCAAGATACACATTTATCGTCTCAAAAGTGTCCTCAAAAAGTAGTGCACAATTCAAAATTGAATTGCGTTTTTTTCTAATCTCTTTTATTCATTGCTTTTCAAATGACAAAATAAAAACGCACGTTGTTTCCTTTAAAAAAAGTAATTTGTGTGGTGTGCTTAACTTCGAATTTGTGTTTAGACAGTTAGAACTTTCTATTTTTCAATTTTATTCTTTGATTTGACTTAATTTCACATGTCGACGCCTATGTATCTATTTTATTTTGTTTTTTGTTTGTGTTTTATATATAAATGTATAATATTATATTTTCGCTAGTATATAATTATTTTCTCTAAATGTGATGAGATTTTAAGTAATAATTTTGAATCAACGAAATACACATTTAAACAGGCTGGATTAGCTCTCATAAGGGATTTTTAATTGGCATACCACGCAAACAGTTTTAAAGGGATAAATTAGTTACATAAATTACCTTAAGTCCACAAACAGTGGCGGTATGCCCTTATGCAGGCCGTGCCTCAGGTACTCGTCAACGAGGCGCTCGAAGGCCGGCATTTGAGCCTCCGTCAACTGGAGCCGTCTAGGCGCTATTGCTTTTGGATACTCTTTCCTGAAATACATTGACAAAAGATTATCATTTGATAATGATGTTCGATTTTCATATTAGTATTACAATGGCGATAGTTTGTATCTGTGTGTTTGTTCTACTCCACACGCACACTGAAACGAATAGATGAATTTAAAAGAAATTTTGTACACAGACTGTGGACTGTAATACCGACCGACTGACCGTGGGAGCAACCGATGGTTGTTCTGGTCTGCATTGGCAAGCCTGTCGTCAGGGCGTAGTGGTTGAGTGCGTAAGCAATCCTGTGATGCCCCATTAAGACAGGAGAGGTTTTGTTGGGTTTTAGTGTGTAGTACTGGCTTGCCTAGCCGGTGAGTCCCACATAACCACATGTATGTCTAGAGGTGGTATGAATAAATGCATTTCACAACATTAAAAAAATGGTTAATTAGTCTGAGTTACTAACTCATGGTCAATTTCGCTACTTACATTTAAAATAGAGATTGAATCGCTTTTAGAGTAAAAACTGCTTCTGTAGAGAAATCCTAGAATGATTTCTAAACAGAAAACACAATAACCCAAATCAGTCCAGGCATTCTAAAGTGATATGCTTACCAACAAATATAACTGTGTAATTTTTTATATAGATTTATTTTGTATCATAACATTAACAACATTAAGAATAAAACAGGCTAAGATCAAATATAAAGTTACAAATATATATCAGGATTTATCTTAAACTATATTAATATTGTAAATACAGAGGTAAGAAACTCACTTATATACATCATAAAAGGCCACTTTTTCGTCTGGATCACTTAGCTGTTTAGCTTCTACTAATTTTTGATAATACATCACATTCTCTGGATTCCTTTTGAGCAAATCCTCGTAAACACTTTCCGCTTCCTTAAACCTGAAAATAACAATGTTATAAATATTATATGAAGACTTTCAACTTTTTAGTAATGTTGTGAACTTAAAAGCTTTTGATTTAAAATAATATTTTTTTTTATTGGGTCCACAAAACAAATGACAATCAAACACATTATATAATATAAAATAACAATTACTTACAAAATTAAAACATAGGATTTCATATTTCTAGATGCAGACACAGCATGCATATACAATATTACAAAACTTAATATTACAAGAACGATGATGAAATTTGAAAAAATATACAGTAAATCTAGGGATATTTTTATTATTTGTCATATTATAAGCCATATGTGTACATAGTACACACAAACTTGTATTGAAATTAATCTAATTAAAAAACACTACACACTTGATTTGAATAACTTAATTAACTAAACTAAACAGCCAAATCACAAAAGTGGGAATAAATACATGTAATTATAGTGTTTAATTGTAACAATAATATTATGTTCAATTATATTTCGCTTGCAGCTTGCATGGTACATCAACAAAAAATAACCATGTTACTGAAGTTTAAGTTCACTTTCTTCTTAGTGAAAGAGTTTCTAAATTGATTTTGTATTTCTAAAGATTAACAAGTATATACAAATGAACATATTTAACTTCTTTGTAATAGTAAAAATAAAGTTATTGTATTGTATACTAGAGACACACTCTTGCTTAGCCCGGATTCATTCCTAAATGATTCTTTAAATTTTAAAAATTACCTACATTAGTGAAAACCGCACCCAAATCAGTTAAGCCGTTTCTAAGATTAGTGTGCACAGACAATCAGACAAAAATTCTTAAAATCACTGTTTTGGTTGCTATTGCATAATTAAGGCCCCCAATAATATTTTTTCTCAAATATCTTCCATGTACAGACAGCAATCAGTTACACTTTAATTATATGTGATGATGATGTTCTCCTGACCGATTCCAGCCACGGCGGCCAATCTCATTGACACTAGCCAACTGCGCAGGAGATATTATAGTGCGCAAGTGTACGCGCAGACACAGGTACACTCTCTTTTCCTGTCGCTCTCATACTCCGGTGGGACGACTGCTCGACACGACCAGTGAGAGTTAAGGCGCAGGACCGACGGCTTTACGTGCTCTCCGAGGCGCGGGGGTGAACCACCGCCAACTTCTCAACTCCGGGCTATTACTGAGGCTTACTATATATACAGAAAGACTCAGTAACTAAACTTGGCCCGACCCGGGACTCGAACCCAGGACCTCCGGGTGTGCAGCCGTATATGCTAGCCACTACACCACCAACTACCAAGGCATTAAATGTATAAATATATTGATATATTATACATGTACGACATACATACATGTATTATTATCTAATTTTATCTTCTTAAGTAATACAAATATAAACACTTACCTCTTTAATTTCAAATAATACTCTCCAGAGGTTTCTTTTATAGATAATTTATCTAATATCTGACTTTGGAACTTATGCAAATGTTGTAAAGCTCTTTCATACTGTCCTGACTCAGCTAACACCATGTTTTGGTATAACAATAATTCTGAATGCTCATAATCATATGGACCCTTCATTTGATTCGTTCGAAAAGCATCAAGAATATTATTAGCCATCTCATAATCTCCTAAAAGATGGTAGCTCATTGCAAATCCAATCCAAGATGCTCTCTGTGTTGGTCTTAACATAAAAAGTTGGTATCGGGTATCCTAAAAAATAGAAATTTAATAATTTTAATTATTCACTTTATTTTAATTATTAACACACACAAACTTTACATGTTAAAAATATTTATAAGCATAAAACTACACATACTTTATATCCTTCAAGATCCCTCATCTGAATTTGAAGTAAGGAAAGGTCTCTCAGAATTTGAATATTTTCCTTTTCCCACTTCAATGCATTACGGTAGCATTTTATTGCCTCATCATATTTCTTATCAGATCTCTGAAGAAGCCCGTAGACATGCCAACAAACAGGTGATTTCAGGTCATTGCGTAGACCACGACGAACATACTCATAAGCTTCTTCTTTACGCCCCAGGCAGTTTAATGTCAAACCTTTCATAGCCAAAGTTTCTAAAAATACAATAGAATTATATTAAATTCTGTAAACAACCATTGTTATTTTGGTTAATAAATATCTAAATAAAATACAAAAGATTCATCTACATTACTAATGTTATGATTTTACATTAATTGAATTGGATCATGAATAAAATACTTACCCCCATGTTCTGCAAATTTGGGATTAGATAATATTTGCTTAGCAAATTTCAACCCATTTTTATATTGTTTATGTTCGTAGCATCGCTAAAAATATTAAATAACATTATTTCAATTCATTAACCTCTATTTATTATTAGATGCAACTCAAATGCAGTACTCATTACAATCACATCTTGTTTTGATAAAAAATTATGATAGGAATTTAATTTTAGAATTATTTCGACTTAAGAGCCTTATTAAGAGTGCAAGTACGGTTACACGAAAATTATATATCAATTGCATTATTTTTTATTTGTGAATATTAAGGCGAGATTGACAAGCCACTCCAAACTAAATTGAATGTTTACAACTGTACTTACCAAAATTCTTTTAAAAAGAGCATTCTCTTTAGGCGGTAATGGATTGCTAGGTGGCATTTTAACAAAAGAATATGATTTATCTTTTTATTTATTCACTAATAAATTGAAATATTGCTAAAAACCTCGTGGCTATAAACCAAAGAAGTCGATGAAGGATTATAGTCTATGCCACTTTAGTCACGTGACCCGTATAAAAAGTTGCCCTATCTATGACGTATTTATTAAAATTATTTTAAATATTCGGACTTTTTCGAAAATATAGTCCGTTTATTAGTAACATTTACCTATGTTGATTTTATTTTATGATATAATAATGTAGGTTTTTATAAAATATTATTCTTCTCTTCAAACTGATTCAGTAATTTTTCCTTGTTATTGAATATATATTTTTTCAATACTTAAATATATATTATATAATATGTTCAAAGGCAACACCTTCCTCTGATGTCAAATGTCAATGACTTTTGACGAGTTCAGACAGTTTATAAGTTATACTTATAACTATACTCTTTGAGTTCAGACTTGAGACGCCAGATGAATGAGTTCCTGTCGGTTTAATTTAATTGTGTTAAAAAGTAATAAAAAACTTTCGTGACATAGATATAGTTACTACAGCATAGTGTAGTTATTAAAAAATTGTTGTGTATAAATAATATGGGGATAGAAAATATGCGTCGCTGGCCTATGTACATTATTTTCGCCGTATGCATTTTGCTTACCCTTTCACTACTCAATAGTTGGGGTATGGAGACCGAATTACAAAACCGCCTGGGCGAGGTGAGTATTCAACTACAAGAATGTTCACGACAGCAAACATCATGTATGGAAGAATCATTGCGGTACCAACAACAACGCGATATTTACAATACAAAAGTAAGTGATTTAGAGGATCAAAAACAAAAACTAAGCGATGATATTTCTGACTATAAAAATAAAGTAGTAAAATCTGAGACTGCTGTAAATCGGACTTTGGTAGATATTTCAATATGTAAGACAGAGTTACAGTCATTAAAGAATTTACAAGTAAGTGTATCAGCTACATTAGAAACCTTAAGATTGGAAAAAGAAACTTTAACAGCCCAGCTTGAAGAGAGAAAAAAGAAAATTGAAGAACTAGAAAAGGAGGTTGGCAAATTAAAGTCTTCAATGACCACAAAGAGTGCTCCTAACCTTGTGTCTTCGAAAGTGACTCCAGCAGCCCAGCCACCAAAACTCAGCTCAGCCTTAAATAACAACAATCCCATTAATGAACCAGTACTTGAGAACAATGCTAAGGAAGATATTGAGGACCCAAGTGCTCTAAACGATGGAGATAATTTTGAACAACAGTAACATTAATATATTTATATTATAACTATTGAGAGGCCTCACAATTGTGATATCTTTATCATATTGTTAACAAATGAGGTATGTTTCAGTTGTTACTGTAAAAGTCATGAATATATGAATAACACAAACTTCATCAATTATCAACTGTATATAACAGTTGAAATGATTCTATGCTGGACATTTTATTGTCTTAATATTAAGACATATTAATAATTAAATTTAAGATTTAATTCATATTAAGATTCTTGCATATGCAAGATTTTTTTTTTAATTCAATTTATATAATTTATGATTATTGAGTATGAAGTAACAAAAAATAAATGTTGTCTGAAAAAGTGCAATTTCATTCAATTAATTCAAAATTTAATTAGGTAATTAAAAATCCTCCTATATTCTCTGTTAAAAAAAAGAGTCAATATATATTTTTTTTTTAGTATTGATATAAACACTTTAATTATGATTTAATATTACAAGAGTGCATATACTCTTAAGGCTATTGGATGTTTATATAGTTATAGGATAGTTTTTATTTGTTTTTATAATTTGATTTACATTTTCGTTATATGTTACTATATTACTTCATATAAAGCAAACATCAAACTATTTAATTTAATATTTACTTATCATATTTATGACATTTAACAATAAGTAAAGCTGTTAACCATTTAGTGCAAGTGGCTCTCAATTATGAATCTTTCTGTTTTGTTAAATCTAAAATTACTCCACAAATTCGGAATTGCTATTTACTATTTAGTATTAATGGTAGCTAGAATATTTTTTAATTTAAAATTATGTAGTATAACAAAATTTAGGCTGAGTTATTAATTGGGGTTATTAAAATGTGCAATTAAAATTTTAAGTTTTATATATTTCTATAATTATATACTTATATTATTTCCTCTATTATTAATGTCATTGTTTCATAGCATCACAAAATTCACACATTATTTTCTAAACAAAAGACTAAGCATTGTTGCAATAGTTACTGTTTCAAAACAATTTGTAAGTGTGATATAAAATTCTTTAATATTTAGCATAAATTTAACGCCATTTCGGTGCCACGTTTGTTAGGATTTGACTGTTAATAGCATTAACTTGAAAAGTGTACAATATATTTTATCATTATTTGAACTCAAAATGATGTCCATATGTAAATAATGACAGACACAAATGTTTCAGTTTAGGTAATAAGATATGCAACTTTGATAAGTGTCAACAAAAAAATTAACAGTATTTCTAAAAGTAATATTAAGTAAATTTAAATTTAACACTTCCAAATAGCCAAGTGATAGTTGGCATTAAGCCAATTGCTTTACAATTAATATGTCCGCATACTTTTCGCCTGTATCTTACAATATAGTAAAAATAGCATTTATATTTGCTCTCTTAAAATGTAGAAATATACAAAGAATACTACTCAGTGATAAAACCACACAATCTTTTATTTCAATTATTCTTTTCTAAAATGTTACAATATAAATTGATATCAGAACTTGTGGATGTAAATTAGTAGCATTTTCACGTTTTATGTAATGACGTCGCCCAACTGATTTGTTATAGTCAATTAAGACAACTTTCTTTTGCTACACATATTACGATAAGACTCCAATGTCGACAAACATATATTGCAAAGTGAATGTCTCGAGTAACTTTGTTTTAAATAAGTTAAACATTCTTAATTCTTTACTGCTACAAGGATTATTTAGATTTACAAACCACAGGCCCCTTTAGGTCCACAAAATTCTGAACTTGTATAAAATGTGATGTAGATATATATATTTTCGAGTTTTCAATCAATAATTGTATTATAGGTGTGATAAATAAATTTTTTTTACAGTAAAATTGCCTTTTTATTTAACAGTTAAATTTTCATATATTCTTTACTTCTTACTAAACAGTATAAATGTATTTAAGTTACTTTATGTCACTAAATACATTTGAAAGTACGATGATGATGATGTTCGATACGGTACTTGAAGAAAAAACTTTTTTTTAAATGTTTGCCTTTCTATTTGTTCCGGCTAATCTCTAAACGGCTGGACCGATTTTTACGGAACTTTCAAGTTTCACTGGCAGACAGCCGATGTTATAAGGAATAACTTGGAAAGTTAATCGTAAGTGTAGTGGAGAAGAGAAAGCAATGATCTTGCAAGCGTCAGATTTGCTGCTTTCTTACGAAGCGTGTTAAAGATTCCAATTTCCATAGATTACTTAGTATAATATATCAAGGTTTTTATTGGTTAGCATAGAAAACTTTAAAGCAACTTGCAGTAATCATTTTGTTAAAGGTCAAGATAATAATGATTCAACTTCATTTTCTTATTTGAACAAAGTGTAGAGGAACGGTCTTGTAAAGAATTTTAAAAAATTACTTTAACTTAGGCATCATTGGAGCTCTATTCGAAAACTACAATGCTTTATAGTAGGGGAGCCCAAGAGGGGATTTTCTGTAGTTACTCGAGCGCGGCAGATTAAATGTATAAAGAGGTTACCTTGCACTCTATTGAGTACTTTCACCATCAACTGCTAAGTTTAGGACATAGAGTATATTGCTACATGGTTTAGGACTTTCACCACCCAATCCAACCGCTAACACCATCATATCAAATCAACTTGATAGTAGGTACCTAGAGATCTAGGCCATTCTAAATGTTTTCAGCACAAATTCGTGTGATTGAAGTTTATGATGATTTTTGCCTCTTAGGCTTGTGCAAATCGGCAATTATTAAATTGGACACGACGTGTGGGACTAGCCACCGGCTTAATCTGACGGTTTCAAGTATTTTTACCTTATCAAAACATTTTTTAAATTTAATCGGCTTCCCTAGACGCGACTTAATGGGGCATCGCAGGATCGCTTACGCATTCAACTACGACGCCCCGACGGCAGGTCTGCCGAAGCTCGAGACCACATAAAATCCCCATGCGGTGCTTCCCTACTATTAGGTCCACTCTGCTATCAGAGAAGTACCAGGAGCAACCCGCATGGTACAATCAACTGCCCCCCGAAGAGGGCCACCTTCACCACCCCCAACCGCTAACAACCTCATGTGCAAATCTTAGCTTCGCGCCCGGTTGGGTTGCCGGGCACTACTGAGCCCCCCCCACCACGACAAGGTGAACGCACGTTGGGGGGAATAGCCAACAAAACCTACATAAACCCACTTCAGAAGCCACCTCGTTAGATAAGAAGTGGAGGTTGCTCCTAGTACTGGGACTTCTCTTATAGTAAAGTGGACTATGAGAGCAATTCCCTGGTGCTCGTGGACGAGGATGGTAGAAAACATATTTGAAAAATCATTCTTAATCCCAAGGTCAGGCGCGTCGAGGAGATATGTACTCTTATATTAGCGATCGGCAGCCGACTCTTTTGCTCAATTGCTCAGAAGGACGTAAATAAAAGAATTTATGTGTAATTACATGGGAACAATTTTGCCTGGTCATTGACACCTAGACTTACAAAAAGGAGGGTACCTACGTATCAGATAGTCCGATATCTTCAAATTAATTTTCTTGTTAATGTCTCGATGCGCTCCAGTTGAGAATATATTACTTCGTCACATATATGTCACATAGAATGGAGAAGACGCGAAGGTAGGTCGGTAAAATAAGTAAATTAAAAGTGCCACATTTTGATCTTCACACAGCCTTATTTCATAAATGGAATCCGCGCCATCTAGCGGCGCAAAGACAGAGACTAAACTTGCATTCATGGGACTATTATTAAATATAGGTTTTAACAATATTCTGTATATGTCATAGTTTATATCTTATTATGTTTAGTATAGATTTCTCAGAGATGAGATATTTTCCCGCAGTAAAAAAAGTATTCTATATGTTGACCCAGGTAACCAGCTATCATCATAACAAATTTCATCAAAATCCCTCTAGTAAATTTTCCTTGAGGTCATAAACAGACAGACAGACAATAATTCAAAACTATAAATTCGGCCTATTCGGCCCTGCATCGGTAATAATGTCTATTTCGATAAGATTTCCCAAAATATATTTAATTTACAGATTCGGCTTAGTTACAATCTATACATATAATAAAATTGTAACTAAGCCGAATCTGTACTGAATCTGAAATAGACTTTATTATCGATACAGAGGCTGAATCTAGTTTTTAGAATTTTTGTCTGTCTGTCTGTTACCGCATCACGCAAAAATCACTGAATAGATGTTGATGAAATTTTGTATGATGATAGCTCATTGGAAAGGGGAGAGGGAAAATATCTCATTTCTTAGAAAAAATGCAAAAACTGCAATGTAAGAGTTATATTAATCTGTAAAACCTAAGAATTTGGTTTTTGGTCATCTGAACGCCGGCGAAGCCGCGGGCAATGCTAGTTTTATTATATGTATAGATGATTATGTGTTGCTGTTGATTTCTCAATAAATAAATAATAGTATTGTTTGAATAAACTTGCAGTTGAAGAGATAATTATTTTTTACCTACTGCTACTGCTACAAAAAGTATTTCAATCAAAAATATCAACTTATATGTTGTATAATATATCTATTTATATATATTTTTTAATTAAAGTTAAAATGAAACAACATGATTGCTTAACAACTTTATTTCTTAGACACTTCTAGAATAAAACAAAAAAACATATTACTTCACAAGTAATGTTTTAAAAATAGCTAAAATAAAACTTACGCAACTAAATTCAAATCTCATTTTAATATTAATATGTCATAAATTCACAGGAATTTTTTAGTAAATGTACTTAAAATAGCTTTTTAAATGTTTAATATCAAGTAAAACTGGGAGCTATTTCGCAGTTATTCTACACATCTAACAATATCTAGACTATTTTAATTTAAAATACATCATGCAGTGCCTTCTATATATAACGAGATTAGAGAGAGAATTTATCTATATATGTATAACGAGCGTTACTTAATAAATTATTCAATAATACTTACACACCAACTTACATAATTTGGTCCCTTGTGGTTATATTTTAGGTCTACAGATTTTATATTCGAAATATAAAATGTGTCAAAAAAGCATGCCTGGAGATTTCATAATACATGTTTTTATGCAGTAGTTCATTATACATGACTCATAGGATATGTATTTTCATAGAGAAATGAAATACACTTTCCTTAAAGTAGTACTAAAATTAATGTGAAAAATCCACTATTTTTGAAGTTATACTTATTTCGGCACATTTGGAAAAAACGAGTAAAATTTTTACAATGCGCGCGCACACCGACAGCCAAAAAGCGACATGATGAAGTTAACTGAAACCGACATGATAAAGTTAGCTGCATTCCTTTTACAAACAGAGTTGTGACAACCAGAATGAAATCCTTAGCTATTTTTGTCCTGTTACGAAACTACTTTTCTACTGAATATCCTAGTTTCAGTTACATATATTCATACCACATCAGCCTATTATGTATCCAGTGTCCACTACTGAATCAAGGCCTCGCCCACTGAGTGTCAAGTATCCTGGTCCCAATATTCATATCCTGTTTTGTAAATACATATAGCCATAATACTATCAAAAATATTTCTAAAAAACTTCAAAAATTTGGCACAGACAGCTTGTAATTAACAATGAAAGTATAAAATCTTTTTTTATTCTTGTCAAAGAAATAAAAGACTTTCCTAGAAGAAAACCATATGCCCGATAAAACTGTGGCCAGAAACTTGGTAGCAATAAAATATATTTATCTCATGTTAGTCAGACACCGCTTCTTCAAAGGCAGCTAGCAAATTTCTTCTGCATTTATTTTCATCACTGTACTGTAAGGCCCAAATAATGTATTCACCAACATTTAATGGGTCTTCAGAATAACTAATTTGTACTTTACACCTTCTATCCCATTTCATCGAGTCTGTACTGCGATTATTCCTAGTTCTTGTAAATTCTATATAGCCATTGCATTCTACTGTTAATTTAGGTAGCTGGATATCTATTGTTTCAGTTGAGCTTTCAGGATTGGTACCACTTGTAGAAGGAAGGCAGTCACCTTGACCGCACTCTTTATTTGGGGGTGTTATAGATGAGTGTTTACTTTTCGTTTTGTCAGTCATCCCATCTCCCTTGTTGCCAATTACATTTTGAGAAACATCCTTAAATTTACTGTTATTATGATTTAAATTGTGTTTGGTTTTCTTCTTTTTCTCAATAGGCTCATTTTCTTCATCTGGCCCACAGCCTTCAGCCCACTGAGGACTAAGGCAAACTGACTCCAGTTTTCGTTTACTTGTTTTTTGCCTTTGGGAAATTTCTAATTCAGGTGATTGTAATGGACTTACAAAGGTAGTATCATTGGTTCTGCAAAACAAAAACAATCATAGATAAAATGTGTTTATTATTTATTTTTTATTTATTTTTAAAATAAAAACCATCCAACTATTTTACATATTAACACCACCAACCAACCAACTATTTTTACACGGGACAGATGCATTTAATAGGTAATAATATGGTTGTTGGTGCATAAACATTGCTATTTGCTACATAAGATTGTTATATAAAGTAAATAATATTTAAAAATAATTAACTTATACCTTTGAAATTTTTCATGCCTTGTTTGAATTCTATCAATACTTTCAACACTAATAAAATCATGTCTGGAACACTGAATATCATTTTTTACAAAGGAGGATACTTTTTTTCTTGTTTTTATCGTTCGGCCAAACCACTCTAAAACTATTTCATCTGATAAATATGAACTCAAACTTTGACGATCATTATCAATCTTTGATTTGTACCATGCAATAAAGTTCTTTGCAGATTGTTGTTTTGATATTTGTGGCTTGCCATTGTTATTTGCTTCTGTGATTGATACATACACATTTCTACTATGGCTTTTTCTTTTTTGTGGTGTTTTAGGTGACTCTGACATTTTATTCTGAAATAATTACAAAAGATTGACATAAAATGTTAAAAATAAAAGCATTAAGAAAAATAAATAGTGCTTACAATAATTTTAAAATGATGTTGAAATTATCAATGTTCAAACTCACATTTTTCACTGAATACTTCCACAACTTTTTGGGAACTTGAAGCTTGGTGCGCCAGTTCTAAGCGTAGAGCTTTTAGGCGATTTTTGCTTTCCTCAATATATGCAGTTACAGATAAATTTATTTCCAATAATTCTTTATGTAACGTAGTTATGTTTTTGGTGTTGGCGTGAATATTTTCTATAACAAAAATAATAAAATGTCACATTACACAAAACACAAATAAACAAGTGAAATTAATAAGTTTCTATTTTCAAATTATCATAACCTACTTAAACACTGTGCTGTTTCAAATGCTAAATGCTCACGATTCAAATCGTTAGAAATTGTAGAATTCATCTTATGATTCCCCAAAGCTACTATAAAGACATCTGTTATATGTTGTTACATTCAATTATAAACGAAAATATTAATAGTTTTTCAAATCAACGAATTGTTTAGTTTTGTTTGACATTGACAATTTTCAAGGGACGCTTTCATCATGTAAATATATCAGAGTACTCTGTGGTTCGTTATTTGCCAAAACCAGATAATAAAAGTTTAAAAGGTTCTACCCAAAATGTTAGCATACTAGTAATCATCAATGGCCTATACATAATACTTATCATTTATATTAATTACAATAACATTAAATCGTAAAATATTGTTTTTTTACAAGGTAATTAAAAAAATTGTATACCTGAAAAATTACAAGATTTTTCACTTCTCATTAATTCTTTGGTTTATTAACTTTTAAAGGTTTAAATTACCTGCCTGCCATAAAAACTTTAATTTTTGTGTTTAACCCAAAATAAGGAATGAGTTTCACTCTAATCCTTTCATCATTTTAAGCATGGAATGTGAAACAAATATCGAAATATTTGAATAAACATTTATATTTATAACATAATCACTACATATTATAAAACAAAGTCACTTTCCGCTGTCTGTCTGTCTCTATGTATGCTTAGCTCTTTAAAACTACATAACGGATTTTGATGCGGTTTTTTTAATAGATAGAGATATTCAAGAGGATTGTTTATATGTATAATACATGCATAAACAGAAAAGCCGAGAAATTCAAAGATTTATATTTCATACTAACCGTTAAAACGTACCTAGAGACGTGAGTTGTCTATAGATATAATAAAATTGTAACTAAGCCGAACCTGTACATTAAATTTTTGTTGGAAAATCTTATTGAAATAGGCATTATTATCAATACATAGGCCGAATCTATAAATTTTAGAATTTTTGTCTGTCTGTCTGTCTGTTACGGCATCACGGAAAAACCACTGGAGGGATTTTGATGAAATTTGGTATGATGATAGCTGGTTATCCGGGTATAGGTATATAATATAGGACACTTTTTACTGCGGGAAAATATCTCATCTCTGAGAATCTATACTAAACGTTAAAACGTAAGTAGGGACGAACCCGAGCGAAACGAGGGTGAGTCACTAGTTAGTAATATAATAAATAGGATTTTAAAAATGCGACACTAGTTGCCAAAAAATGATGGTGCCTTATTTTATTAAAAAATACACATTCAAATTTTCATTTTAATGTGATTCAATGTATATTTTAGTAAAACTATAAATTACGTGTAGAATCATCTACATAGTATTTTATTATTTTTAAAATTATGAAACAAATAATTAATATCTTTTCATTAATATGACCATAGACAATGTTTTAATTATGAGAAAGAGCATTGGATAGTAGAACAGCCGCGCTTCCTTGGGAGTGGTAATGTGCCGAACCAATCTACTGCGTTCTCTTGATCATTGACATCGGCCATTGGTCTATCTTTTGTCAACCAATCATTGAAAAACCAGTGAGGAATATCCAATGTAAGTTCATAATATTTGACGATTATTACTTGCAATGGTTGAGCCGGTGTATTTCTTAATAAAAACTTTTAACTTTCGAAACAAAGTTTTCGAGATGTTTGACGAAATTACATGAAAAGCAGCCATTTTGATTACGTTGGCTTCCCTGGCCTCGGGCGAGTGACGTATGGCAAATTTTCTGATAAAATTTTCCAGGATACGTGTTCTGGTGATTACTTGTAATTAATAATTTTAAAATAAGTAAAGCACTGCTTACAATGCTTAAACACTTTCTATTAGCAAAGAAAAGAGTCCAAATGTATCTGATACAAGCAATTAAATTGTGCGCAAAGTTTGTGCAAATCACTCATGTCTGCCAACAAATTACAGTTCATCTGCTTGCAGCCTTATTTTGCAATTTCATATTTTGCCTTTTGTATACTTATTAGTGCAGGAGCAAAACAACATTTTTATTTTTATTAAATATCTGAAAGCTATAGGAAGTTAATTATTAACATGTCACTCCAACATCTGTTTCAATCATAACAAATCAGGATATTCAAATAATTTTGTAGAGATGCTATAAATATTTGTGCAATAAACGAACTTACTACTACTATAATACTAATTTTGTTTGTAGCTTCTTAGGGACTAAGGATAAAAAGTTGCTTAAGCTACGCTCATAATGTAAAATTTCTTAGGCATTAAAATTTAATAAAAATAATAAAGATTTTTATTTATCTGGTATGAGTGAAGCATTTAGATATAGAATTATTTACACATAAATAAGTATTTTTTTTTATAATTGGAAGACTAAGTAGATTATTTCATTTTATAAATTTCAGTAAATCGATATGGAGCATGCCCAGATCCAAACATCCGATGGATCTCAAGTGATGACCATCAATGGACAACAACTGCAAGTGTTACAAATGAACAATAGTCCTCATATGTTACAAGGGCCTAACGGTCAACATATTGTTATACACTCAATACCATCTACAGCTCCAGCTATACAGGTGAGGTTTGAAAATAAAAGAAAATATGAATAAATGTTGTAATTGTTATTCTTGTAGTTATGATCATTAAAAGGTTTTGATATCATCTTTTAACTGAAAATACTAAAAGTAAATTCTAAATATGTGATTCTTACTATAAAAAATAAGATATTTGCCATTATTATAACATTGTCTTTAATTCTCTATGTATGTTTATGCAACCAGATTGGGACTCCACAAATCCAGGTAGTAATATCAGTTCTCTTACACTATCTAAATAAATAAAAATGTTATGCTGTTTGTTGGCAAGTGCATTACTTGTGAACAGCTGGACCGATTAAGCCAATTTAAAAAAAATCTTGAATTGTCTGAATACAGTTTTAAGGGAAATTCAGGGATAAATAGGTTTTTTATATGAAATTAAAAGTCACAAATAAAACTAAAATTTGGTCAAGATAATGTTCTCGGCTAGTATTTAAATAGTAGTAACTGAGTTTTCAAAAATTTATTTTTATATAAAATGTTTTAGCTGTCTATAAACAATATTTTGATAAATCTGTTAAGTTCTAGAATTATATTTAATTCATTCTATCAGGTTGCAGCTCCTGGTGGTCAACAATTGCAACAATTACAAGTTCTACCTTTGTCCAGTCTTCAAGGTAAACAACTTACTATTTCATAAAATATATGTACATTTGTTTAACAGTCTATACTTCTGAGAAATGTAGTTATGTAAATGAAAAGCTATTCTAATAATGAATATGTAGTTAATACTATGCAACAAAACTCTATTCAACAAAAATATCTCTAAATCCAAATTTACTTATCCCTATTACTTATCAATACAATGATATATTCTATAGTCTATATAATGTAATAGTTGCTCATTAATAAAACATTTTGTTTCAATTGAATGTTCAAATGCTCATTTCAATTACAATTCACTGTTCCCTTGCTACAATATTGCTGTTGCTGTAAAATATGCATTATTACCAAGCCAAGACTTTTCTGTAGTTGAGAGAACTATGGCTGCCCATCCTGTGTATAAAGACACAGTAGAACAATTGATATTATTTAGATGTGTTTGAATTAATAATAAATAGAATAAGTATGGATAACTTTTGTGTTACAGGCACAAGTAACAACATTCAGCCCATGCAGTTAGTGCAGACTCCGGATGGACAAACTTTCATTTATCAGCCAACACCCAGCACTTCTCAGCAGCAAATTGATCAGCATCAAATCATACATCAACCTGGTGAGGTTTATTTCTTCATTACATTATCTATACATATAATAAAATTGTAACTAAGTTGAATCTGTACATTAAATATTTTTTGGAAAATCTAATTGAAATAGACATTAATATTGATACAGAGTCTGAATCTATAGTTTTTTAGAATGTTTGTCTGTCTGTTACTGCATCACGAGAAAATTTTGATGAAATTTGGTATGATGATAGCTGGTTATCCGGCTCAACATATAGAATTCTTTTTACCGCGGGAAAATATCTTATTTTTGAGAAAAAATACAAAAACTGAATTGTAAGAGTATACTAATTTCTAAAACCTAAGAATTTGGTTTTTGGTCATCTGACCGCGGGCGGAGCCGCGGGCAATGCTAGTTTCATATATATATATTTTTTAAATATATATATTTTTTTAATTTTTATTAAGCTCCAATTAAGTTTGTTAAGATTTAAAAATTAATATTAATTAATATTATGCCAAAAGATAAAATGAAATTGACATCGTTTATAATCTTCGTAATGTTTCAGGCACGCTTATAAATCTCAATGGCAATCTTGTGCAAGTGGCCGGTGTGGGCAACACAGTGCAGCCGCAGCAGATTGTCAATCAGCCTAACATTGTTATGGTGAGTGTAGTAAACACTTTTTGTCATGCATGTTATGAATAGCAGTGATATAAAGAAATAACATAACAATTTGGAGACTGAAGGGATTTCTGAAAAGAGCAATAAGATAACAACAGAGTTTATACTAATTAATATGTATGATATTATGGAGAGTTTTAGAATTTCACTATATTTTTTTTAAAAGTAGATGTTACAATTTAATGTATTGTAATTATTGTAGATGGTGAACGGTTCGAACGGTGCCACAGCATCCTCATCCGAAGGTGCATCTCAAGCTGGCTCGGATGAAGAGCCACTCTTGTATGTCAATGCGAGGCAGTATAAGCGCATACTGCGTCGTCGCGCCGCCCGAGCCAAGTTACATGAACAGGGAAAGATACCAAAGGAGCGTCCGGTGAGTGCTAGTATATATATATTGATATTTGTGATTGAGTGAAGATATGGAGAATTTGTTTTGTTTCGTTTGCTTGAGAATTTTATATTTAATAATATTTTAACGTCATATTCACTCTGATTATTTTCTTAATCAAAAAGAAATTACATTAAACAATATTGATATAGGCTTAATTTAAAGCACTTTAAAAAAAAAACCACACCTTTATTTAAATTGCACGCATATTCCCTACTATAGATGTTTTAAAAAAGAAAGAAAATTTTTGCTTACTATGAGTTTTTTTAATTTTCAGAAATATTTACATGAGTCAAGACATAGACATGCAATGAACAGAATAAGAGGGGAAGGCGGCAGATTCAACTCTGGCAGCAGAAAGTAAGTTATTACAAAATATATTTCCTTACCTTTTTATTTAGCACAAATAATGTGGCCATCTGATTTAAAAATAATTGAATGCCTGTACGTACTCCTTATAGATTTTGCTATAAATAATATTTATTTCATTTTTTTATTATTCTTTCCCAGAAATATGGAACAAGCTGAACAAAATTCATCATCACAAAAGATCTTGGAGGACATCAAACCTGATACTGTTTCAATTACCATTATTCAGGTAAAATTTACTTTAAATTTACTAAGCCGTCACTCCGTTACGTGATTGCTTTATCACATCACAAACACACTGACAATTAAATTTCGCTTTTAAAATATGATAGTTCATTTTAAAAAGATAATTTATATATAATATTTTTAATTTGACAGGATGAAGAGCTACAAGAGAACCAAACGAATCAATGGCGACGACTCGCACCACAACCCCTCACTTCGACATAGCAGATACGGTAAAATGTTTCTCGGGCCTCGACTAAAACTAAGTGAACATGCATCACCTGCAAGTAACATTAGTGTAACTCAAATAATTTAAACATTAAAATTTATTTTAAGTCCAAATTCAAAATTAGTATTAAACTGAGTTACAGTGTTGTTCTTTGCAAGGAATGACATATTATGTGTTGTAGTCATTGAATGGCTGAATGTATAATTATGAAAGGACGTAAATATCGATAATTAGATGAAATAATAGTGTGATCAGTGTCTATTTTAAATAAAACTATCTTTTCGGATTATTTCGCAGATTTATTTTGATTTTTGGTTCCCGACGTTAGGAATGCTTTTACAGCCATCATGATCACGGGAGAGACTAAGGTTTTAGATGTCTCAAAGGCATTTTATAGTTGTTACAGATAGCCTACCCACAAGATTACAAAATGAATTTAATAAAAAAAAATGTATTACTTCGGGAATCAAAAATCAAAATAAATGTACCAAAAAATCCGAAAAGATAGTTTTATTTAAAATGTTAAATATTCGCGTAAATCTAAAAAAGGATCAGTGTCTAATTAGTTTAATGATTTATTTTAGTGATGATTGGTTTGTTTATAGTGGAACTTGTATGACATGAACTTATGATATTTTATTACAAGTTTGTTGAAAATTTTGTTTGATAGCAAAATTTTACCATTCATCCTTATAATGTTAGGAACATCAAATTCAAAAAAGACTGATATGCACTGCCTGGATTCGAACCGGCGATCGTTTCCTATGGGTCATAGTTTTTTAAAAACATGTTAAATAATTTAATTTTTATAGTTTTATTTGAGTCTTAATAACCAAATAGTTTGTTTTCAGATCGTGAGGGAATTTAGCTTTTAGTATGAACAATATCTACATTTCTCATTTTAAAATTTAAACTAGAGAATTCTGATAAATAACTTGCCGTGTTAATAGTTTGGGTCAAATCTTGCAAGTGAATATTAAAGCAGTTATTCTTAACCGATTGAGCGGGAATTTTACATACACGTTTAGTTTGGATGACAATGAATGATTAGATAAGTGACGTCATTCTAAATCCAACATGGTGGACTGTCATGTTTTTTTACTATTAATTTATTTAATAAATACATTGCAAGTATCAATAAGGGTATAATATCAATAAGGGGAATAACAACGTTAAAATTTATTTTATAAACTTTGTATATAAGTATAATCAAGTAATATATAGACGTTTTCAATGTTGTATCTAAATATGTTAAGGTTTTTTGAATGTGTGGAATTCTATACACATGTTCACGGTTATTAATTTATTTTAATTTACATCTGCCTCATGTGTTTCACAAAATGTCATATCAGAGTTTAATGCATTAACTATAGTGTAGTATAGAAATGATTTAAAAATTAAATATGTTTTATTTAATTTTTAAACGATTTCTATTTTTAATATATTTTGTCATCACCATGATTCCAATGAGACAATATTTGCTACAAAAACGCCAAATTAATAGTATAGTTTATATTTTATTGCAATATGTGGGTTTGTTTAACGAATTCTTATAATAAGTATGATTTTTATATTAAGTTTTATTTATCATTGTTAAATGTTTGTTCCAAATTATACAGTGCGGTTACATTCAGTGTGTTAGGGTTCTTTTTGTAATTAGTATATAAGATATGGGATAAAATTGTGCGCTCATCAATTACGTACATAATATTGGAAAATTATATCACAGGTTAAATCACCCATTCAAATTTATGTTATTTTGACATTTTTGAGAAAAATATCTAGATGGGCTAAGAAATTGTTGAAAATTGACTGTATATTCCGATTTATTTGAAGTTGATGCGTACATTCTATCCCACTAAGGTTCATACCCCTTTGCATAAATATAATTTAAAGATTGTATAGATTGAACATGGCATATGTAATGTTTTGGAGGAAATCACAACCTTCGTTATTTAATTATTTTTAACTGAAACATTTCTATTTTGTAAGACATATCTTTCACATTTTATTCCTGCTGTTTATTTTTGAGAGCAGGTTTTTTGGCAAAATTAATCAGATTCGTATAACAATTGGTTTCATATTTAGTTAGGGGTATGACATACTTAAGTAAGGTGTATGTATGTAAATATATTATATGTTTTTAGAATTTAGTATGGTTTTTATATTGCAAAGTACAAAATATACATATTGCACAATACTGCGTCTTTCATTAATAAAAGTGGCATCTATACAGATAAATAAAATTGAAATGTCTAAATGTATATGAAATTAGATAAGGTACTTATAAGAAAACATAATTTTAAAAATTTTCCTCTCCCGGAAATGGTTGGACTGATTTTGACGGGACTTTCAAGGGCAGATAGCTGATGTTATAAGGAGTAACTTGGTCGCAAATTTTCTACTTTTATTTTGGAAAAAGAATTGGGTTCCGCACAAAAAAATTATAACGTACCTACTACCCAGGGACGCATCCGACCGATGCGTAAGGGCGTCGCTAGTTTTAATAAAACTATCGTAGACTCAGTTCCTCCCGTGACCACGATTGCTGTAAAGCATTCGGAACGTCGAGAACCAAAAATTGAAATAAATCTGCGAAAAAATTCGAAGAGTTTTATTTAAAATGTCAATTATTCGCGTAAGTCTAAGAAAGTATTAGTGAAACTAGTAATTTAATTGTAATACAATTATTTAATAAAAAACTTTTATACATGATTTAAAAGAAACTGTCAAGTATATAACATGCTATTATAAAATTGGCATCAAATCATTGTTACCTTACGCTAGTGATTTTCTTAGTATATTTTAACTACTTGTTTAGCCTATTTTAAAAAATTAATAATAATTATAAAATTATTAAAAAAAAAACGTGTGCTTGTACTTATGTACGCGCGAAGTTTGGCGTAACAGAACAAAAATACTTCTTTGGCGTAACAGAACAAAAATAACTAAGATTTCGTATGTCACACAACTCTGTGTTTATAAAAGGAATAATAAATAAAAATATTTTTTTTATCTCCACTGATATAAAACACACTATTTAGAATATAGTTATGAGTTAACTAACTGAGTGAGCTAACTTCTTCATGTCGCTTTTTGGCTGTCGGTATGCGCGCGCATCGTAAAAATGTTACCCTCATGATTTTTTCCAAACGTGCCAAAAAGTATAACTTCAACAATAATACAATTAGTTAATTATACTTTTGTTTAAACCATTGATATACAAAAAACTCAAGATACACAATTAGCGTCTCAAATGTGTCCTCTAAAAGGAGCACTTAGTTCGAAAATATGCTTTTTTTCAAATCTTTCATTTATTGCCTTTCGAAAGATAAAATTAAAACGCAAGTTGTTTCGTTTGAAAAAGTATTTTATGTGGTCTGTATTAGTTCGAATTTCTGTTTAGAAAAGTAGAACTTTAGATTTTATTATTTGGTTTGACTTAACGTGACATGTCGACGCCACCCTTTGAGATATTTGTGAGGAAATATCTATGTATCTATGTTTTTATATATCAATGGGTTGAAAACTTTTTTGTGAAATTCATTAATTTCATCAAAGATTACAAAAACATTATAACAAAAATAAAAACGAATATCTACAATCTAATAGCCTATTTGTGACTATGCTAATGGTAATTAAACGTGTGTGCTAAATTCTACACTACCTCTTTTAAAAAGTAGAATATTAATAATATTATAAAGAGGCAGAGTTTGTTTGCTTGGAGTTTGGACGCGCTAATCCGATGTGAAAAATTCTTTTTGAATTAGGTAGCCCGTTTATTGAGGAAGGCTATAGGCTATATATCATCATGCTACTACACAAGGGAGCAGAGCAGTAATCATAAATAACAAGGAAGACAGACTTCCATACGTTATTGTAAAACTGATGTTTATAATCCAACAAATTTAACGCAGGTGAAACCGCGACGCATAGTTAGTTTTATATATAAAAAAAAAGATACTGATGTGTCCTGATTTATAACTAACTTCCAAAAATGTGGAAGTTTTATGTTTGTATTTGATAAATAAATAAATATTAACATGAAGACTTATTGAATTAAAGAAAATTGAAGTATAGTAGAAAACTTATTAGAGAGTTATATCCTAACATTAATGTTACATATAATTTGTCATAATAATTAAAAAATATTGATGTTATTATTGGAAAAATATGACCAATTTGCGTCTATAACCTGAAATATAAGTAATAAATATTACATATATTCAATTCAATTCTCTTGTAAATGGCTTCGAGACGTGCCAGTTGAGAACATAGAATGGAGAAGACGAAGATGTTGGTATTTTCATTTAGGTTTAGCGTTGTCCCTGACGCGTTGTATTTCAGTTTTGATGGCGGATATGAGGGGCAGTGCGGCGTCCCCCGCGCGCCGCCGCGCCTCCGCCTCCGCCGCCGCCGGCGCCGGGCTCACGGACACAAGGGACAGGGACTGGAAATAAATGACTATATAATCCTTTATTCTATTACTAGACACTCATCCTCGCTTCACTCAGGTTCGTCCCTAGATATATTTTTATTTTTTTTGAGCAGAACCCTAATTCTTTTACTGAAATAAAAGTAGCCTATGTTACTCCCTATAACATCAGCTATCTTCTAGTGAGTCCCGTCAAAATCGGTCCAGCCGTTTCAGAGATTATCCGGAACGAATAGACAGACAGACGCAAACATTTAAATTAGTATTTAGTAAAACGCTGTTATTTTGACATTACTAACAGACACTTCAATTTTATTTATCTGTATAGATTATGACTAGTGACTCACCCTAGCTTCGCTCGAGGTCGTCTCTAGCTTCAGCATGATTCCCAATACAAACTTTCATTCCCATTTTGACCCCCTTAAGAAATGATTTCCAGGATAAAAAGTATCCTATATTCTTCCCAGGGTCTCAAACTATCTTCTTACCAAAGTTCATTTAAATCGGTTCAGTAGATCCAGAGATTACCCAAACGTATAACTTTAAATACATAAATACTACAAATATAAATACCCATGACTGAAGTACAAACATTGTACTCATCACACAAATGAATGCCTCCAGCGGTATTCAAACCTGCGACCGCTGGCACAGCAAGTAGGGTTACTACAAATTGAGCCAAACGTGTCGTCAATATCTTTTTCGTTTCTTTCAATGTTATCATTGTGAATTCCATTAATTTAATACATATTTTAAATACGAAAATTTGCATGGATAGATGTTTGTTATTCAATCAAACTACAGAGAGATAGATTATAGTCTGGAATAGCACATAGGTTACTTTTTATCTCAAAAAAATGTACGATTCCGGGGTAGATTTGTATGTAAAGAATAAGTGATGGTGTATTTGTGAATATGTGTGATCGCCTCCAGGCTTCTTCAATTTTATAAAAAAATTGTAATATATAAGTTAACTATAAAAATGTTCCTATGTTCCTATTAGTACTCGTATTAAGTTCAAATATATTGTTAAATATTACATTTTAAATGTTTTTAGATAATATATATTAAACTATGGATCTGTGTCCGAATGAAAGTAAATAAATAAATAAAAAGATAATAAAATAATATTAGTCTCGCTGAGTTTCTTTCGCCAGTTCCTTTCAGGTCTGAGGCTTCTTCTTTCCGAACTGATAGCAGACTCATGACGTTCAGTAAAAAAATATAATAATTTAATGCTGAATAAAATATTTTCAATTTAAATCGAATTTGAAAAAAAAATGTGTTAGTACTAACGTGTGGCGGCGCGGGCGGCGCCGGCCACGCGGGCGCGGGCGCGGCGGTGCGCGGGCGCGCGGCGGCGGCGGGTGCGTCTCGTCTGCAAATGTACATTTGGTTAGGTTAGGTTTCAGACACTTTTATTTTATAAATATTATTTTGAATATGCGTGATTTTTTTATACAATAGCTTACATCGTTATATTATTGTAAAAAATATCCAGCTCAAACTTGATAGTTTTTTGGGGCTGGATAGTTAGTATAAAAAAAACCCATATCGATACGGATACTTTACACGCCCGCCATTTCGCGCGTTTCGCGTGACGTCACAGTATCATACATAAAAATATGACGACTTTAGTTTGTAGCGACAAAGCGTTATGATAATACTTTGACGTCATATTCGATGTGACCAATGGCGTGCGTTTCAACTACTTTGAATTTCCCACCTATATTAGCACTTTTTATTAATTATTTTTTTAACCAAAAAGAAATTACACGCAAATTAATTATTATTTAACGATTACACTGGCACGCATGAAGCACTTAACCGAGTAATCATACGCCAAAATGTCTTACATCTTTTTGAAAATGATTGATACCCTTACACTGCTGAACAGATATTAACCAAACATAGCTAAGAATTTTTTGTTATTCGATATTAAAAATACGTACAAAACTAAATTTTCACATTTAGTAGGTTTCACATTTACCTAGTAGTTTCACATTTTCTAGTACATGTATAAAATTTCCCTAATTCTTTAAGAAAAGTAAATGAGCTGTATGGCATAATCGAAAATAACAGCATGAACAGCAAATCACGGTTCTACTTCTTCGTTTGGAGACTGTTAATAATTGCTTCAGGTTGCGACTAAATACACTGTTACGTTCAAAGCCACAAGCATAATAAACACAATTTAAAAGTGCATGTATGATGAGTTAAGAGTGAAGTTTTATCAATAACTGTGCAGGAATGAGTGCGGCGAGACGTACCCGCCGGCGCCGGCGGAGCGGCCGCGCACGCGCACGTCGGCGTTGCGCGCCTGCGCTATCTTCACACTCTCTGCAATTACGTAATTTATATTAGCATAACAATTTATTGTAATTATACTCATTTATAAAACTGAAGGGGATAATATTATGTATAGGTCATGTTAAACATCCGTACTGAAACTAAATGTGAAAGTGTGTTTGTTTGTCCCTCTTTCACATCGAAACGGAGTGACGGATTGGCGTGATTTTTTGTATAGAGATAGTTGGAGAGCTGGAGAGTGTCATAGGCTTTTTACCCAGGGAAATTATCTAATTCCCACGGAAAAACAAATTATGATCATGATCAGAATTGCTTGAAACTTCGAATTAATGTTTTTATATACAATTAAATAAACACGTGTTTTAGTATTTCTCGAAATTCATCCTGTAAGGTGATAAAATAGCGGATGAAAGTTTGTATGAAACTACTGTCTAGAGATTATTTGTAGTTTTAGCGCGAGCGAAGCCGCGGGTTGTCCTAGTAATACATAAGTTCATTCATTCCTATGTAATATGTAAATAAATAATGATGCACATCATCATATCTACATTCTACACATAATTATCTACTTTTTATTTTACTACCATCTTTGAGGTATTGGAAAACTAATAAAAACTTAAAAAATAAAAACCAACTTACAGGCACTATTAAAATATAATAACAATGCAAATTAAAGCTCACCGACTTCTAAAATATCTGATTAGGTATCTGTTCTAAATAAAAAAAAACCCGTTTAGTTATTTTTTACTTTTTAATAGTGACTGAAAGTAGATTTTTATTATTTATTTAAAGTTTTTATTTTTCCATTTTTAGTGTAGATAAACAGGTAATTTGTAAGAAGAATGTTTTTTAATAACATATTCAACTAAGCCATTTATTTAATAAAAAAATATTTAGTGTTGATTTTTTAAAAGTAGCTGAACCTATTTCGATAAAATTTAAATGGGACCTGGGAAGTATATCTTTTCAAACAAAAAAAGAATTTTCCCAATCGGTTCAGACGTCTTAGAGTAATCGGTGAAGATACATAGAAAAAACTCCACGTATTGAGAACCTCCTCCTTTTTGAAAAAGTAGGTTGAAAATAAAAAGAAAATCATGTCACATTTTTTTAAATTTTTGTCTGTCTGTTCGTTCCGGCTAGTCTCCGAAACGGCTGGACTGATTTTGACGGGACTTTCACTGGCAGGTAGTTGATAATATGAGGAGTAACTTAGGCTACTTTTATTTAAGAAAAGAATTAGGGTTCCGCTCAAAAAAATTAAAATGTACCTAGGGAAGCGAACGAACGATCCCGAGCGAAGCCAGGGTGAGTCGCCAGTGAAAGTCCCGTAAAAAATGTGTCTTTCTTATAAATACCATATATAATTTCATATGCATTCGGTAAAAAGCTGTTATTTTGACATTACAAGCAGACACTTCAATTTTATTTGTCTGTATAGATTTTATTAGTATACAAATACCATCATGATTGATAGACATTACCAGTGTCGCCGTGTTGCTGCGGCGTGGAGGCGCGGCTGCCGGAGCCGAACAGCGTGAAGGCGTCGTCCACCAACTCCTCGAAGCGCGCCCGCCGCCGCGCCGGCATCTCCGCTGCCGCTGATACAGGAATATTTATTAATTGTTATTTCCATTGTATTCGGCCCTTTTTAACGTCCCACTGCTGGGCGCGGGCCTCTTTTCAGTAACGAGGGAAATCAGGCTATAGTCCACCACGCTGGCCAAGTGGGGGTTGGCGGAGTAAGAATGTCTTTTCAAAACTTACTAAGTTCACTCAGACATGCAGGTTTCCTCACGATGTTTTCTTTTATCGTAAGACAAGTGGTAATCATGTTAGAAATGATTTGCACATAGAAATATCAAAGCTAAGAGACCTGGGATTTGAACCCGTTTCACTCAGTTTCTCTAGTGAGCCTGTTATCATCGTCAAATGCTAAAGGCAAATTGCAAAATGCTTCTATAACTTTATTCATTTGCTGAAATATGTAACCATGTTTTAAAAGTAAATAAAAGGTTATTATAACCTTAATTACTCAAACAAACTATCGTACTAGTTAGTATCTATTAATTTGCGTTTCTTAAGTGTTTCTGTTAAGAAAGTTTCATTGTTATCGTCATGCACCGTAAGAGTTGGGAAGCATATTACATATATGTATAATGTACATATATGTTGCAGGTAAATTGTAAAAACCATAAGATTATAATTTTACTAATACTTTTTTAGGTTTACGCAAAATTTGGCAATTTAAACTAAACTATCTTTTTGATTTTTTTGTGTATTTATTTAGATTTTTGGTTGTCGACATTTCGAATGCTTTACAGCAATCATGGTCACGGGAGAGACTTCCGAAATTATAATTTAAAGGTTTCTACTTTTTCTTTGCGACATATACATGTTTGCAGTAGGGTGGTCTCACTCCTCCAACGTGCGTTCACTGTGTAGTAGTGCCCGGCAATCTAATCGGGCGCGGAGCCAAGAAACGCACAGGGAGGTGGCCCACTTCGGTGGGCGGTGTACCATGCGGGTTGCTCCTGGCACTTCTCTGATAGCAGAGTGGACCTCGGAGCAACCCCGTGGTTGTTGTGGTCTGCTTCGGCAGACCTGCCGTCGGGGCGTCGTAGTTGAGTGTGGAAGCGATCCTGCGACTCCCCATTAAGATGAGGGAAGGTCTTGTTGGGTTTTAGTGGGCAGTACTGGCTTTGCCAATCTTACACCTCGTGTCTAAATGCATTTTTCAATGGTAAAAAAGGGTGGTCTCAGGCGAATACACACGGCTGGGGCGCAGGCGCCAGGCGCGCGGGCCCAGCACGCCGGGGTCGCGCGCGGCGCTGGCGCGGCGCGCCAGGCGCGGCGACTCCGCGTCCAGGTGCCGCACCGACACCGGCTCCAGGATACGCGACAGCGGCTCCACCGCTACGCCCCTGCACCACAACCATTCAAAAATCGGTTATTTCCATAATTATTTATCTCCATAATATGGTCCATTTAATATCTAATTTTTCACCTAACATTAATATCTAATTTTATACTATTTAATGATCACTACGCCACAACATAGTCAATGTCATGATTCAAACGTTGTAAAAAATAAATATAAAAAATTGTTCCCTGTAAAGTCGGTTTACGGACGATAATTTTACGTGATAATGTCATAAGAAAACATTGATTAAAAATTACATACTTTTATGAATTGAATTGAATTATCATTAGTTTGTATAATACAAAGAAGGAGTTCATTGAAAATTACAATATTTCGATAAATTAACATTTATTTGCACTCATTAATTCAAATATTCTTTTACTTTAATTATACAGATTAATTACAAGTAACAATGTGCTAATAACGGCTATGGAAAGTAGGGAGGTGAAAGGTAGTAAGGCTTCTACCCTCCATATTAACAACTTAGGCCAACCGTACCTCTCTATCGCTCGCCCCGCGCTCTCGCTCGCACGCTCGTCTCAGACGGAACGTGACACTTTTTCGTGCGTGCAGCGTGAATGCGTTCATCGATTTATAAGACGTTAACACGTCAAAAACCGGTCGGCGGTCAGTGTTATAAAACACCCGGTAGGAACCGAGTTCCTTCCACTGTCCGCCCTTGGCTCATACATTAGCTCGTACACATTGTTACAAGTACCAGGATAGCATACACATCGAGCGACGTACTGCGTATATGTTGAACCTCATCGAAGAAAAGCCTGTACAGAGTGCACACGAATTCTTTACAACATACACGCCTTAACACATATAATCGCCTGGTAGGTACCTACTTTTGTCACGAGTACTAGGCCATAAACTTTAAGGAGTGCTCATTATAAACATATGTAGAGCCCCGTCAGAGTACACAGATACATACATCCTTCAAAAATATCTATATACAAAAATATTCGACCATGAATCACTACAAAAATATCCATATTTTCGACATTTATATGTCTTTTCCTAAACAATTTTCGTTTAATAATTTTACAAAATTTTCTTTTTTCTTTTTCACCAGTACGACGAAATACTTGTACTAATATCAATTAAATTTCCGACGTTTTTCAGTTTATATAGATAATTCTAACTTATCCTTATTTAGATATTTAATCTATTTTAACCTTTGACTTCATCATTTTCACCATTCAACCGGCGAACCTATTAAAAACAACAGGCAGAACATCCAACGTGTAACGGTACCTCGGGAAAGCATTGACGGAGGGCATGGAGAGGTAGGAGGTGGGCGTGGGCGGCGCCGACGCGCTGTCGCTGCCCACGCCCGCCGCCTCCAGCAGGCTGTCGGTGGTGCCCACTGCAACACACACGGTACACACGGTACACCATATAGTAATATGCTATTGATGACTGAGTATGTTATAAAGTATTACTTTATTTACAACTAGCGACTCATCCCCGCGCCGCTCGGGCTCGCTACGTTTTAACATTTAGTATAATTTTCTCAGAATTGAGTATTTTCCCGCAGTAAAATGTATGCTATATATACTCGTATGTTGACTCGAAGGACCATCATACCGAATTTCATCAAAATGTATACAGTCATTTTCTCGTGATGCGTTCCCAGACAGACAGACAGACAGATGTAACATCAGTGTATCGAACTCAGAGTTGTGGGCATGCCCACCGCGCTTGTATGACCGAGTAACACATGGGTGGAGCTACAATGGACCAAAACTGGTCGACGTAGCCAGGGCCGACCTCGGCACCACCCCCAACATAATAATAATAACACATGGGCTACTGGTATGGACGAGAGTAAAACATCAATCGTTCTATAATTACCTCGTTTTTTCTGCGGCATCCTAAGAGCGTGGGGTTTCTTCTGACGTTTTCTTAGTGCCGCTGCTACCTCAGATATTCCTGACGATGATGTTGACGAACTGTTTGGATGTTAGTGGAATATTTTCCTTTAGATTTATTTAAATAAAAAATCTACCCAACTTTAATCAACCATTTAAAAACGATGTAAATCAGTATTTAGCAATCACTTATAACTTCTAAGTACAACTACCTATATAACAGTAAGAGGTTTTAAAAGATTAATTAAAAAATCTGAAACTGAAAATATAATTTAAAAATGATCACTTGATTAAGCAGATATCATATGAGCTGGTTTATAGATTTCTTATGATCACTATATAAATATATGGATAGTATAGAATAGATACGCTATATACTACCTATATGATATATAGCCTATAGCCTTCTTCAGTAAACGGGGTATCTAATGCAAAAATATATTTTTAAATCGGATTAGTAGTTACTGAAATTAGCGCGTTCAAACAAACAAACAAACTCTGCTTCTTTATAATATTAGTATAGATACGAGAGTTAGTATGTTTGTGAGTATGTTTATTACTTTTTCATGCTTATACGGCTGGACTAATTTAGATGAGATTTAGTACACAATAAACTATAACCTGGAATAAAAAATAAACTACTGTTTGGCTTTAATGATGCAACTAAGCGAAACGAGGACAAATATGTAGTATTACATAAATAAATAAAAAAATTATCGATGATATCTCACCTAGAGGCACTCCCAGCCCTGTATATAGGCAACAGCACACTACTCGGTCTCGTCCTACTGGGGGACACCACGCTAACTAGCTGTAATAACATTTTTAACTAAAAAAATAATCTCAATATCAATATTTCAAATATCAATTTATTTCGTCAGTTCTTCTCAGGTCTGAGGCTTCTTCCTTCCGAGCTGGTAGTAGACTCATGACGTTCAGTAAACAAATGTGATAATTTAATGCTAAATTTAATCTAAGTATTTTGAATTTGAATGATAATATTTTTTTAACTAAAAAGGTACACCGACTATAAAATCAGTTTAGAAATAGTTATGTTTTTTTATTTTTTAGTTTTTTATTTTTAGGAGTTTTTAGGTTACCGAAGCTAAATCGCTAAAACCCCTTAAAAATCTTTACAACTTCGTCATGTCCGTTTGTCTGTATGTCACAGGCATTTTAGGTTCTCGATGACTATTGGAGCTACATTGCTAAAATTTGGTAAGAATAAGGTAAGAAATTCTAAATAAAATAAATTGTTTTCTTAACTCACGACGCAAAAACGACAGGGTGTTAGAAGTTTGACGTGTCTGTGTGTGTGTCTGTCTGTGGCATCGTAGCTCCCAAACTGATGAACCGATTTTGACTTGGTTTTTTGTTGTTTGAAAGGTGAATTAGTCGGGGATATTCTTAGCTATGTTTGATGAAAATCGGACCAAGATAGTCGGGGTTTTTTTAAATTTTAAATTTATCACCTGTTTAATACTACCTTAGCATCCTTGTCGTCGTTGATTTGCTTCATTTGGTTGCGCTCCGCTTCACGTATTAGCTCATTCCTGTATGCTCGGAGCGATGCCGCTGATTTTATGGATTTCTTTCTATATATTTAATATTATACGTTACTAATTTGCCATTAAATAAAAAAGTCTAAAAAGTACAGTATGAGTTCGATTGTCACAATGACAGATTTTCTATGAAAGTCGTTAGGATTTTAAACAGAGTTGATTTTTTTTAAATCAATTTGGTTATTTAATAGGAAATATACGTGATTTTTTTTTAGTTTTTATACAATAGCTAACATCGTTATATATTTGTAAAAAATATCCAGATCAAAAAACTAAAATTTAGAAAAAAAAAATCTTTAAAAATATCATACCGATACGGATACTTTAAAGTTTAAACACCGGCCATTCCGCGCTCTTGACGTGACGTCAAAGTATCATACATAGAAAAATGACCACTAGTTTGTACCGACGAAATCTGTAATCGATCTGTTATGATAATACTTTGACGTCATATTCGATCTGACCAATGGCGTGCGTTTCAACTAGGTACTTTGATTTCCCACCTATATTTACACTTTTTATTAATTATTTTCTCAATAAAAAAGAAATTACATTAAAAGATATTTATATAGGCTTAAATTACAAGCAATACAGATTATAAAAAAAATATTACCTTTATTTAAATCACACACATATTCCTTATTCAGATTTGTCTTTATAGGAAAAACAATTTATATTGAAAGAGTGTCCTCAGACTAGAGATTAAGATAGAAGAGTCTGTAGTTTATTTGCATTGTAGTATAGTACCATTTTAGCCGTCAATAACTTTGTGCTATACACTCAGTGTATTTGTTATCTAAGTATTTTTTTATACTTAATTACTTATTTACATTTATTCCAAACAAAAGTGTATTTAATTACTAGGTAGTAGGTACTGTAGAAGTTATATATTTATGTAATTGTGGTGAAAATCCTAGCTGAATGGCAAAAACGAAAAACGTGCCAGGTCTCAAACTATCCAGTAGATAACTATTTTTACCTCAGAGGCGGACCTATATATAGGCTTTTAGGGCGACAGCCTAGGGCCCCTAAAATATAACAGTCCCCCTCTTGAAAACAATGGATAATATTGTGAATTTATGAAACAAAAATTTATCTAATTGTAGATAAATTTTTTATTGGAAAAATTGAGGTCATAAAAGGTTACACTAATAAATAACCCTGAGATCAATTAAGAACGAAACAATAGAGATGGGACATCTACCATTATAGATCTTATAAAGACAAAATAACAATTAGTTTTGATCCAAGAAGTGTTAGCCCAGGGCCCGAAAAATTTACGGTCCGCCCCTTATTAAGCTCATATACTAAAATTTGCCACTCACCGATGTGCCAAACAAAGGAGGACAAGAAGTACTAATAGCAATAGTACAGCGATGGTAGAACCTATGGCCAGCGCCCACAGCTCCACGCCTTGCACAGTCGCGGTACTGACGCCTTCTAGCCCTTCCGCCGCTTTGAGATACGCTGCTGGTTAGGTTTTGTTCTTGTTAGGTTAAGACTTACGCAAATATTTGACACTAGTGACTCACCCTCGCTTCGCTCGGGTTCGTCTCTAGGTAGTCAATGTAAGCGCACAATACAAATCTTTGAATTTCTCGACTTTTTTGTACATGCATATATTATACATAAAAACCTTCCTCTTGAATCACTCTATCAATTAAAAAACCGCATCAATATCCGTTGCGTAGTTTTAAAGATCTAAGCAAACATAGGGACAGACCTACAGCGGGAAGCGACTTTGTTTTATACCATGTTGTGATTTGAAATTAAGCTCTTTTTAGATTTTGTCACAGTTTTAGTTTGAGATTTTTTATGACGCCTCGAATAATCGCTTCCGTGAAGATATTTGCTGAATAGTATTGAAAGCATAAGGAAAACTCAAAATAAAACCGCGACAACCCAAAGATATATATAGATTCATTAAAAATGTAATTGGTATTTGAATTTGGGGCTCAAATTAGTCTACAATATTTTAAAGTTAAAAGTATGTTTGTTTGTGATCTTTTAAATCACACAACAATCCTTAATTTCTTCCTCAATTATCAATTTCCCAGACACCTTTTCCTATTTTTTCTCGTCGATAATCTTATTTGAACTCTTAAAAACATTATAAAAAAATGGAAGTAGTAGTTACATCCAGAATCTCAGTATATCCTGATAAAAATAAATATAGGTACGTCGCCTTTAATTGCCATAAGGGTATAAGCCATAGAGGAAATCAAACCGGATGTTTTTTCTCATGTATGTCTCACCATATATTATGTATGATAGTAGCGCTTATCAGGATCATCGCTTAAAAAATCACTAGACAAGCTAATGTAGTATTCAGCTCTTTTTTAGTTCCCATAGCTGGGCACGGGCCTCCCTTCAATACGAGGAGGATCAGGCCATAGTCCACCACGCTGGCCAAGTGCGGGTAGGCGAACTACACATGTCTTTCGAAAATTTGCTAGGTTTTCTCAGACAGGTTTCCTTTAATTCTTTTTCTCTATAATATTTAAGAGTCTATTTGTTTTACTCGTGGAAGGTGCTTATAACCACATTTAAAGTTCATCATGTATAAATAGAAATATAAGGGCAGATATACAAAACATACTCACGCTCAGCTTTAGTAGTCACAACCGCCCCGAGCTCCTTCGCGACCTCCGCGTCCCGAACTAGCCGCATGTCCCGCGCCGCGACCGCCGCCGGCACCGCACGGCCCCCCACTAACACTACGTACACTATCTGGATACTACCTTCTGTTGACTGGACAGTTAAAGGTTTAGATATTTATGTCCCAAAAAGAATAGAGTTCACTTTAAAATTCAAAATATTTTATTCAATTTTTAACTGAACGTTTGAGTAACACCATTTCGGGAAAAAAGTGATAGTTCTGAGAAGAACCAGCGAAAGAAACTCAGCGGGACAAAAGTTATTTTTTTTATAAGTAAAATTATAAATTACAAAATGTCTACAACTATCAACCCAAAACCAATCAGTGGGCTTATATTTTAACCTAAGTCTAAAAGCTTTCGTGGAGATACTTATATCCAATTAGTGGGCTTATGACATAAGTCAGTCATTTCATGGTCACTGACAATACACATACTTGTCTATACATATATGTAATAAAATTGTAACTGAGCCGAATCTGTACATTAAATATTTTTTGGAAAATCTTATTGAAATAATCATTATTATCGATACAGAGGCCGAATATATCGTTTTTAGAATTTTTGTCTGTCTGTTACCGCATCACAGAAAAACTACTGGAGGGATTTTGATTAAATTTGGTATGGTGATAGCTGGTTATCCGGGTCAACATATAGGATACTTTTTACCACGGGAAAATGTCTCATTTCTGAGAAAAATACAAACACTGCAATACTTATATGTAAAACCTAAGAATTTGGTTTTTGGTCATTTGAACGCGGGCGGAGCCGCGGGCAATGCTAGTATCATATAAAAAATATGTATGAAAGTCGGATGCGCCTTACATGCGTCGCTATCTACACGATTGCCCGGTTTAGATACCTTTGTTAGACGATTGCAGGGATTAGTAGACTGTAGATAATTTACAGTTGACCGGCAGCTTAATTGTAATATCATCAATATAATAATCTGATACCTTAAATGATGAATAAACAGTGGAACTTATGAATCAGTAGCACTTTTGAGTTTGCGATTATTTAATTTGTTATAAGGAGTATCCTGCAGTAGTACGAAAGTGTAAAATAAAATATTTAGTAACTTCATCTAATCTACAAGACCTAATATTGGAGTTTACCTCAGTGATATTTTGTATATGCACTTGTACTGGTGGTTGTTGTTCAGGCTTTATAATTTCTCTTTTAAAAAGCACAGTTCCATTACTTAAATCTTCTTCCTCCGTTTCCAACGGTAAATCGATTATATCTTCTTTATTTATACCTTGCATGTCTTCTATGCTACGTTTTCGAACTACAGCAGTCGGCATTACTAGTATCCAAGATGGCTTATCATTTACTTCAGTTGCTTCAATTGAAAACTCTTTTGTCTTTCTATTTATATCATTAACAGATATCATTTCTACATAATTTAAATGATCACTCTTATTTGACTCGTCCAGAAGTGCTGTTTCGTTAGAAACCTTAGCTATTAGCGTGTTAACTGACAAATCGTCTAAACTTATCATAGAACTTTGGACATTGTAAAATTTTTGAGGTGATTGGGCAGTGTGAGGATTTACTTGGTTAAAGTTATTGTCTTTATTTATAACGAAAGAATGTACTTCGTGCTTCTTTCTTGACGTTGGGGCATCTAATGACTTAATGATACCAAGATGCCTTTCCTGCTGTCTGAAATTATCAAATTTTGATTAACTTCAACAATATATCCTAGTAAACAATCAATCTTCTTCAAACCTACCTTAGAAAAGCCTTTTGATATAATCTAGCCAGTCTCAACTGCAGACTATCAGGCGTTGAACCCTGTATCACTGTAAGAAGCCAGTACCGCCTGTCTTCAGGAATCTCAGGTTCTAAGCTATCTGGAGTAACATCACAGTTAAGAACACATTCACCACTTGTTTTATCTGTCACTGCCTGCAATTAGGATATTATTTATGTTTTAAATGGAAATCTATTTTTTTGTATTCCACAAAAGAGTAAATAAAAATTTATTCATCACATTTGAGGATAATTTACTATCAAAATAGCCGTATAAATATGTCTAAGTATATGTATATTAGTCATCAAAAATTATAATTAATTTTTTTTTTTAATTTATGATCTAAACACTAACGAGGCGCTTATCACCCAAAAAAATATAGTACAAAAAATCGATCACTAATACTTTTCTATCTTTACTAACGGGATTTTTAAGTAAAGATCAAGAAAAAAGATATAACATGTATTGTTGTAATTTTTCATGTATTTATATTCTTTTACCTAGTACTCCTACTATCTCTACGTACTCTTATTTTCTACTACCTACTACCTAATTGAAATATATCTATATTGGTATTTTAATCGTATAAAAGAGATTGCTTTAAGCAAGGAGAGTTATGAATTTTCTTAGACAACACCTGTACAAATTATCTTTTTATTCTGTGTGCAATAAAGAATAAAGACGTTTAAAAAATATATATTTAATTGTAAATGACAAACTTTAATTTAGATACAAGGTACCTGGGGTGGATACGAGTCCAAATACACAGTGGCGAGCACAGTCGTAGTTCGCACGATGGGAGTACTTGGAGTAGCCACTGGCGAAGATAAGTCCGGAGGCGGCGGCCCATCTCCAGACCCCGTCCAGAAAAAATCTTCAAGGCGAGGAGTTCTTGAGTGTTGATCAGGCGATACCAACATGTACACTTAAACAAATATTTTTAATAGCGATTTACTCTAACTGGCCGCCTCAATGTTCCATAGTAACAACTAGTATAGTGCTACGTATCATCATTCATCATCATAAATACATACATATAATAATTTTTTAACTGTCTGTATAATGTACATGGAAGATATTTGAGAAAAACTTATTGTGGGTCTTTATTAACCCAATAGAACCCTAAACAATGATTTTTAGAATCTTTGTCTGTTTATCTGTTTGTCGGTTTATCTGTGCGTTTGTGCGCGCTAATGGTGCGGATTTCACTAATGTGTTGTGGTAAGCTTCACTTGACATTTATTATGGTTCATTAGCGTCCGGCAATCTAGCCGGGCGTGAAGCCAAGAGACACAGTGAGAGGGGCCCCATTTCGGTGGGCGGTGGCGGTGTTGTGCAATGTGTATAACATTTATACGACGAATTTTTAATGAGCTATAGACGCAAATAATGTTAATTTATAAGTTTGAGTTATACTCAAAAAAATAGCCAAATTTTCCGAGCTTTTGCTGTTTATAACCTATCGAGTATCGATAAACTATTTTGCTCGGCTCTACGTCTAAAATGCGTATTATGTTTACGTTATATCTCTTGCTGTTTCACTTATGTAAAGCTGAAATAGGGGAATGAAAGGTTAATAAAATGACAAGATGGTAAACAACGGGGAATCGCGTGATCTCCCGAATAATGGGGCTTACGGTTTATTGGCCTGGCTGAAGCTACTGTAACTTTCAAGCAATCTATAATCGATCACGTTACAAAAGACAGCGGAATATTTAAAATTAACTCTTAATAAATACTAAGCTATTAGTTAAAATAAAGTATGTCTAATTTATAAGCATATAAAATACTAGCAGTCTGTCCAGAGGTTTTCTTACTTTGAGGGTTTATTTACTAATTATAATTTATTAAGCATTTAATATATGTGTGATCTTCAGGTCCAGCACGTTTGTTTTAGGGCATTTTTAATTAGTCATAATATGATAGGAATGTAATTTCGATATAATAGACTGTAAACAATAAAAAAATGTTCTAAATAGGTACTATTCAATTTTATATACAATATAATACACATATTTTCATGATTATGGTTTTATACGACAAACTACTTTATAATAGTTACGTAATCTTACATAGACAATGCTAGTTCAAAAGTTTATCACGTGTTTTGAGCGTAATGTACTTTTCACTTGGCCCACGCTACTAAAGGGAGTTACTTCCGCACCAACCCGTACCATCCACTATGGTTCGGTTGAAAGAAAACGCATTTCCCTTATTCATTTACTATATATGTGTATGCATATTAGTCTTCCACGAACTAGGAAAATTGGGAGTAGTATAAAATGATAAAAATGATGTTAGTGTTGTTACATAACTATTATCAGCTTAAATTTCGAAAATGATTAAAAAATGTATAGATATCTTATATGACAAAAGTTATAAGTTGCATGTGTGTATGTTAATAACAAACTATAGTTAAGTACTATTATGCATATATATGCATAAAAATTAAATATGCATATCGAATCGAAAAAGATATAACCAGAAAGACAGATTAAAAACGTCAACATAATTATATAATAGAAGACTTTCATTTTTATTTAAAATAAAATAGAATAATAATTCTATATTGCTGCAACGACCATATCACTAAGGAGGAGTATTTAAAGTGATCGTAAAGGTTGATCACTTTATATACTCTATTAAATCCTGTAATAAAATAGTAACAAATCGAAATTAGTATACGAAAAATATTTAAAAATATACTTAGACTGATTGTGTTGTGTACAGAATATAGACCCTAAAATAGAGTTGTTGAAATTTTTGTTGTTATTCTGTATGTCTGTTTATGTATGTGCATTTCAGGCGAAAAGTACTGAACGGATTTTAACTAAATTTTGTGTTGTGATAACTTTTTATTCGGGTCAACATTTAGTATACCTTTTACTACAGAAAAATCTCTCATTCCAATGGCAAAACATAATAACTGGTTCGGCCGAGTTGTTTGTTCTTCATACAAAAATTTTATTATATCAATAAAATTACGCAAAATCTATTAGTAGCAGTATTAAAAATTAACATAATTAACAAATAAAATAGTAAAATATCTCATTTTCATGAGAATATACAAAATTTAGTTCCGGCATAGTATAAAACAAATTCTCTGATTTTTATTTTTTTATTCACTAATAGAATGAGCGATAAACGATGAAGGTTAGGTAGTGTATATATGTACTTAATTTGTAAATATTTTGTACAAAATGGCTGTGTGTGTAACTCTTAAGATACTTACTTTTTATCTATTTAAAAGTACCTAGGGACGCACCCGAGCGAAGCGAGGGTAAGTCGCTGGTATATGATATTAGTAGCAAGCAGTTACATTTTTACAATTTTATTAAATTAATTCATATTTGAACAAAGAATTAATCAAAAAGAAAATGGCCGTTGTTAATTGTTTTTTTTTAATTTTGAGACTTTCTTAAAATCAAAAGTTTAAACGTCAAAGACATACATAATTTATACGCCCCTTTAAGACTTCCCCTATCGTTAGATTGTAATTTCTAGCTAACACGAGTCACGATGAAGGGATATTTATTGGTGCCAATACGATTGATATTATTTTAGAAAACGAATTAGAAAGAAAAATCAAGTTACATGGGTGTGCATATATGTTACTGTAAAAGCCCGTATATTGGTAAATCTTAGGTTTATTAATTTATACATGTTAATAAATAATAAATTCGATTTCTGCTTCTCTTTTAATGTCTTCGATTATGTGACAGTCCCGACTTAGATAACGTAGGTTGAGAAGGTACGCTGCGCTTTGCTACCGCCTTAGCCTTCTCGTTAGGTCCTTCTTTATATTGAACCCAGAACCACCAACTAATATCATAAGTGATTTACCAAGCATCGTTGGTAAAACCTAACAAGTAACATGTACCAAACTCTGATGATAAAAGCCCGAAATGTAAGGATTTTAAAATCGTCTGCTTTTTTTAAAATCCTTACATTTACCAAGTCATGTTAAATCCTAACATTTACTAGGTAAACCAAAGATTTATCAATATACCGGCTTTTACAGTATATCTTAAATATATACCTAATTAATTCTTCTGTACGTGTGTTTATTAACCTACTCCTCATAAAGGGCTAGACCAATGGATAAATTATGTGTGTATATTTCAATGGGCTCCTGGATGGTTTGAAAACACAATTGAACCCAGTAGGTGGCGCTGCAGTCGGTGTGCCACTCATCATCTAAACGGCAGGGACGATTTTAATGATATTTTTTGTGTATGTTCGAGTGGGTCCCTGCAAGGTTTGAATTCACAAATGGATCCGGTGGCGCTACAATCTCAAGAATCAAAAGAGCGATATTGATGAAATTTTCATGTAATCTTCTAAATCTAAGTTTGGACTCGGACGAAGCCGCAAGTACTGCTAGTATACCTATAATAATTATCTAAACATTTACTGTCATTAAAAATTAGGTTAGGTGGGTCTCTGGGTTATATCCTGTCCGTAACCGTGTTTTACACAATCGAGTAAATGCGCATATAAAAGGTGTAATTCGGCGGTTACATGCGGGTACTCAGCAACCTATTGTCATAAAGCGGATGGATGACAACGCATCGGCGCACGCGCAGCGAACCGGCACGGGATTTATTTTTAATTATTTTTCTCTAACACTCTAACAAGATTCGGTAGTTATTTTTTATCAAAAGTGGGCAATAGTTTTGCTCTCTTTATTCTTAAAACATGTAAATACATATTTTAAGTACAAACATACATTATTATGTATAGTCCATGTACAATATTGATGTTATTTATTATCCAAGAATGTTACTAATTTTATAGTTTCTAGGATATAATCTTTGTTTACATATATTTATATATATATAAAGGAATGTTGCTAAGCGCAAAACTCAAGAACGGCTCGACCAATTCAGCAAAAATTTTTTTTCGTAAAATCTCAAGGTACACGGATGCCCGATTTCACCAACAACCCATAAGTATATAATACCACCTACGTATGGGATCCCTAGCTTAAAATTCCCCTAAACTAGCCCCTAAATTAAATTTCGTTTTACCATCGTCTTTAAGCAGGGGCCTTTTAACATTTAGGTGAACCCTAACTATCGGTGAACCAGAAACTGTCCCCTAACCATGCTTAGGGGATCCCTTAAACTTAGGTGACGTTGGTGAAATCGGGCAGGAAAGTTTTAGTAAAGAGAAAAAAATATAAAATAAGGTAAATCTATATACATATATAAAACAAAGTCGTGTTAGTTACACCATTTATAACTCAAGAACGGTTGGATATATTTGATTTTTTTGGTTTCTCTTAGTCCGAAAAAAGATAATAAGTATTAAAACATCAAAAAAATTAACGAAAAAAAAATAAATTTATATGGCTAACGCTGGCTAATAAATTTATGTCTATTTAAAACGTACCTAGCGACGAACCCGAGCGAAGCGAGAGTGAGTCGCTAGTATATATATAAAACAAAATCGTGTTAGTTACCCCATTTATAACTCAAGAACGGTTGAACCAACTTTTATGATATTTGGTTTTTTTGATTTCTTTTAGTCCGGAATAGGGTAATAATAAGTATTAAAACATAAGAAAATTTTACTACAAAAAAAATTAAAATGTAAGTATATGGCTAACGCTGGCTAATAACTATTTATATTTACATATTTAAAATGTACCCAGCGACGAACCCGAGCGAAGCGAGGGGGAGCCGCTAGTAGAATATATTTGTTGATATTGAGGTTTTTTCGCTTAAAACTTCGTATGTAATATATCGAGTTCAATTGTTGTTTGATTAGTTTTTTTATTATTATTGAATATTGCTTTATTATTGAAATTCAATACGTGTACATAAAATGTTAAAACTATAGACTATAATGTATATATACTTACTTTTTTCCTCGTCCTCGTATTCGTTGGCGAACGTAAATGATATAAATGTAAAACCTACGTTAAAAAATAACATACACGTAGGGATCATGTTAAATTATTCAATGGAACATACTGGCACTTACATTTAATAAATAATTATCATAATGTTTCTTTCAGATATTTATGAAAATTGTTATGCAATTCTAAATTCATAATATAAAACTAAAAATTTTCAAATGCAATTAAATAATGAAAATTACGCGCGTTACTTATAGGAATGCACATTTGGAAGTACACCAGACTCTAATAATTTCCGGAATGCCACTGTGCTTTTAAATTGTTAAGAGGTTGCCTAGCAACATAATTGAATAACGCGCGCATTTGGCAATTGACAATGACAGTGACAATTTAATTTTCGTTCTATAACAGTATCTTTTTTACGCAGACCCGAACGATAAATAATATAAAATACATTTTATAAATTCAATGCGTGTTTGTCTGTAAATTTGTATAATAAAGTATTTTATTTAATTCTTTACATTTATTTTATCAAACAAATGTAAATATTCTTGCCAGTTAAGAATAAATGGTATAAAATTTTGTGTCAGTCTGGCAATACTAAAATCTATCGCTGGTCCGCCATTCGTGAATTGCAGCGCCATTCGTGTGAGTTCGTCGCTTCCGTTCGACGGACTTTGCGACGTGTACGGGTGTGTGCGAAAGTATGAAGTGAAATCGTACATAAAGTGTGTGAAATGTTTAGTGTAAGTTTTTACTGTGCTGTAAAACAAAAATGAGTGCGAACGGATAATAATAATTTCATAATACGGTTTCTAAACTTAGTACTATTGTAGTACACGTAACATTTTGTATGAACGGTTTCAAAATGGCTGTGTTTTGAAGGACCCTTTGTCCGCTTTCGTGTGCTTCTCCAGCATGATAGTGGAATCATACAGACAGAAGTTTATCTTTGAAAGGTAAGATACATTGCCATTAATGCTATAGAGATAAAAAATGGTATGGAAAATTACTGATTTCCACCGAATTACGGCGTCGTTTATTGCTTTCTATAGAAGCGTTATCATACCGCTCACTGACTACGTGTGAGTTTCTAATAACATTGAGTCTGTTTATTGCGGTATAAGAAGTTATAATGCTTTTATGAAGAAATTACGCAAAATCCAAGTATGCTTTGCAATTCTTACTTTCCCAAAACCCATATATATTGCCTTTTGATAATTCTTAAGGTTATATGCCAATCATATGTTTACAAAACGACATATGACATTGATAAAAAAGTATATAAATATTCTTGTTATCATATAAGATTTATTATTGCGTTTATAATAATGAACATAGAATGATATTGTAATATTTAAAAAAAAGTATATACATTATACATATATCAGCACTATTAACATATTGTCACTTAAGAATTGACAATTTTTCAACACATGTTTAACTATTACATAGTAGTTTTATATGATTTTGTTTTTTTAATTATAAAGTCAAGTTTGACTTTGAATGTCCTTATGTTTGTAACTTGGAATTGATTTTTTTTCTTACATTAACAATTTTTTATTTAGGTTATTATTTATGAATTAATATAACATTAAATACTTTTTAATGTGTAATTTGGAGACTTGAATAATTAATAGTACTGCATAAGTACATAAATGTTAATATTATTATGTAGTCAGTTTCGTCAAATTATTAAATTAAATAGAAAGAAATTATGGATGCAAAAACTTCTATAGACATAAAAAAAATTAACGAAACCGCATTCAATTTTTACTACATTTTTTTAAACATAGAAAGGACATCTGCATTTTGCCCGTAATATAAAATTTACAACAGTTTATAAGTGTGACCAGAATCATACCCGTTTCTTAGCTGCATTGAACAAAACAACCAACGAATAAGTGTTCAGAGGTCGTGCTAAATCGAACCTCGCTCGATCGTGAAATGTCGCCGCACCGTTAGCTATCCGCGCCCGCGACAACGCGTAACGGCGTTTGGCATTGTGTGCACGAACGCACGATGTCTAAACTCGTTATAAACGTTAAATTAGATGGAAAATTTGGATAATTCGGGTTTCGTCTTTTAAATAGTAACCTTTTTTTTTTTTACGTTGGGAAATGCATTTACGCACGACGTGTGGGACTCACCGGCGTAATACAGCCAGTACTACCCACTGGTACTTACCTTGTCACAAAATATCTTATATTGACTGGTTCCTACCTATATGTATTCTGCAGTAAATTGTTAAAAAATGTGTATACATGCACATACCCTCTGTAATGTAAATATAAACAACTAGTGGCTTTCCATAGCTTTGATCTGGGACCTAACAGTAGCGTAGGTACTCCAAGACATAGAAGAATAAGAAAGAAAACACACAAACTTTCAAAATTATGCTTTAATATTGTTATTCCACCATTCTTTAATAAACATTACATTTGCTCTATCTTCATCTTAACTACCTATTCGAGTGTACGTCACCACTACGCTACGTAATTTCGAATAGAAAGTTTGATAGGCAGGACGATAACAACAGATAGTTTACGTTACTTAGAGCAAAGGTTTACAATCATTTACAAAAAGCCTTCTCTTTTAAGAGTATATGTATATATCTATACTAGTATTATAAAGAGGTAAAGTTTGTGACGTTGTAGGGTGTAATCTCTGGATCTACTGAACCGATTTAGATGAAATTTGGTAAGAAGATAGTTTGAGACCCTGGGAAGGACATAGGATATTTTTAACTCAGAAATCAGCCCTTAACGGGGTGAAAGTTTTTATAGGGAATTAAGCTAGGGACAAACCCGAGCGAAGCGATGGTGAGTGGCTAGTATTTTATAAATTCATTCTTTTTCAATGTACCTACTTGCGATCTCTTTGTTTTTGGCTATACTCGGCACGTATTACATAGCGCCACTTTTGATAGCTTTTATAGAAAATATGTAAAAATAACTAACGTCGTTTATTCACTTACGTGGAATATTGACTTTGAATTTATCTACGGGTCAAAACTACTGCATCTGGCATCGGTCGGGAATAGTCTTATCATTGCGAATCATATTTTTAAACCCTTTATATCACCTCCAGGTAAATTTCTAAGAAATTAATAAAAAATCTAAAAATATATTGTTAACTGACACGCCGGCGTGTCCGTGGTCGTGGAGGGAATATTAATATGCAGCGAAAAATAATTCTATTATGTCAAACAAATTTTATATATAAATTGTTTGAAAATTAGAACAAAACCTTGGAAAAACCTTGAAAAAACCTAAATATGATATCTGTAGATAGATCGATACTTGTTGCAGTACATAGCTTTAAAGTACACATATACATTGTCCACCTTCGTACATTGTCTGCTAGATATAATAATAATGGGACCGGCGTGATCGAAGGGACTATTACAATTCATGATGGTTTCACAAGAAATAAATGCATAATATATCGAAAAGAGAGCGGCGTCAGTGAACGCTCAAGGCGATTAAGTTTTTTGATATTTATACTAATTTGTCAAAAAACTAGACACCGGATACATATATATTTAATGACTCATTTCAAAGAGCTAGTTGAATTTTTTTGCTTGCTGCAGTGTTTACAAAATGTTAGGTAAAATAACAAAATTGCGAATAATAGGATTCAGATTTAAAGAATTGTGTTTTCAAGTTGAGTTTGGGTTAAATTAACTAACAAAGCTCACTATGATGTACGAGCGACGAGTAGATCATGATTCAAAAGCCCCAAATGAGTCCCGAATGAATTCAGGAGATGCACTTATGCTTTATTCGAATATGAGATTTTGCTCTCTGATATTAGTTTCGACAGAACTTGGGCAGCTAATTTCATTAACTTTGCGAGCTGTTGAAGTTTTATTGCATATCTTTTTAAAATTTATACATTCTCTAATGTTAACCAAATCTTAAATGTGAATTTACAAATAGATAGTCGTACTTACATAAGCTTAGAATATTTTGAAAAACAGTCGTTCTTCCATAACTTTAGAGGCTTTGATAAAATTTAACTTTTTGATGAAGTTTCCTAGATTTGAATCAATTATATTATAGCTAATGTAATATATTTGCCTCTCTTTCGTATGTAGACAGGAACTCAACATTGTGCAAGTAAATAAGATATCTTCGATCTTTATTAAAGACGGCTCACTCTCGCTTCTCTCGGGTTGGCCTCTAGAAAAAAAAACAAGTCTATCCCACGGGAACTGTACATTTTTCAGGGATAAAAAATAGCCAATGTGTTATGCTGATGTATGAGTTACACAAACTTTCGCATTTATAATATTAGTAGGATAATAAATCATATCACTTAGTTATTGTAACATTAAATGAAAATAGAAACATGACGCTGAACAGCCATAATATTTAAGTGCAAAATAACTATAAAAATCGTAGGTTCGATTAAAAAGAGTAATACATATATTTACATTTTAGTTAAAACATTTAAGTGCGGAAGTCCTCGGCTACCTACGCCTAGTATTAGTGAAACCGTACAAGTTCTGGACGGCTCGATTTTATTTTAATAAGCGGATTTCACATTCAAGTTAAGTTGGTTAAAGCCCGTCGATTATTCTAGTTGAATCGAGTTTCAATATTGAGATTGTATGACTCCGCTCAGATTTCTTCGATGTTTTCGAATGAATATCTTATAAGCCTGTTTTGTTATTCATGAAGTAAATAATTCAGTTAGTTTTTTCTGCGATTTCTTAGTTGTATCTGTGATAATGTTTATTTAGAAACGACCCTGTTTGAATTTATTATTTTCCTTTGCATTAATTTTATTAAAACCGACCCTGTTTCTGTAGTTTTTGTACCTATCGTGCCATGGCCTCCTTACAAGAGTATTCAAGGTACTGTGACATGCTTCAAAATAATAGTGGCTCTTAGCAAATGAAAACTCGATTTTATGACGCTTTCAGCGGAATTACATCGTTCAAGGTATCTAAAATATTAGACTTGATCAGCGTCTTATAAAACCTCCTTAATTTGGCCGTGAATATTATTACCTTTATAAGGAAATGGTTTTATTATAAACTAAATAAAAATAAATGCGCGAAATAGAAATCAAGGAATCCTAATA